GGAAGTTGGTCTGGCGATGTACACCAGCCACCATGCCGTCTACAACGAACAAGTCCCACCACGTCCTGCGCCAGCTCTCTTCCAGCACGGGAATACCGCGCCCATACTGCGTCGCATACTCACGGGTATTCAGTCCGAGTTCGAGAGCGATGCGCTCGGCGTCACCAAGCAGATTTCGAGCCTTTTCCTGCTCACAGCTGCCGTCGAGGCCTACGATTAGGAGGATCAGGGCTTGTACAAAGAAGCCGTCCCTCCGAGTTGTTGGATCTTGGACCAGACGCAAGGCCTCATCCAGGAAGCCAGCCCGCGCAGGCCCCACATCGAGGAAGAGAGCTCCAACCCACCGAAGGGCAGCCAGAAGAGGCTCCATGTTGGTGTCTCTCATGATACGGAGCAGCCATTCCTTGGGTAGGGCAAATGGGTGCGAGGCATGGAAATGGTGGTAAAAGGAGTCGAGGTATCGTTCAGCCAAGGTAGGCACGGGGACTTGCGCAGGTACACCGGGCTGAGATTGGCCCAGGGCCAGCTGGGTCGAGTTGAAGCCGATGGCAGCACCGAAAGACCGGTAGAGCTGCAAATTTGAAAAGTTGGGCGTCGCGGCAAAGGTAGTGCTGGGCGTATCTGGAAGCACGACGCCCGGGGTATTAAATGCCATTCCGTTCTGCATCGTCGTGGGGACTGAAGTGCCGTTTGCGCCAAGTAGCATTGGACAGCTATTGTCGCCGACACCTACGGTGGAAGTGGGGGAAGAAGACCGCGCTCTCTTGTTCGGATTGGCGGTGTTATTCCTCCTCGGGCCCTTGTAGCCGCGCCGAGAAGCGACGTAGACGCACTCGGACTGGGAGCTCAGGCATCGCGAGCACGGGTTCTGGCCGTCGCACTTGAGATGCTTGCTGCGCTGTCACAGAATAAGATTGAGGTCAGTCTTGGCCTCGCTAGGGATGGTACTCTCACGCCAAAGAGGGTGGTGCCCGTCTCGCCGTCACCGTCTCCGCCGGAGCCAATGAGGAGCAGGGAGAGACGACGACGGGGGACCTGAGCTGACATGGAGGGGCGACTTACGCATGCGAGACATGCAGCGGGGACCGCTACGACGGGAGGCTGTTGTCCTTGGGATCGGGAATCACTGGTCGCCGAGGAGGATGCGTTTGGCGAGTCGCGGTCGGCTGGTGACTCGGAGTCGGGCACCATTGCCAGAGGGTTCGGGGACCCGTTGCTGTGTGTGCTGTGTGTGCTCCCCGGGGGAGGTGGGACTTCGGGCGACAGCGAGGATTGCATGTCGAAGACTATTCTTCAGGTTTGGTAATTGCGGCCGGTTGCCGTGGGCTCCCCGGGATTCGTTTTAACTCGATTGCGGTATGCTGTCAATGTTCTGTTTATCTCTCTGTGTCTGCCTCAATCTTTGGCCTCTGGCAAGGCGCGGGAAGTCGATGGGTGGTTGCAGGAGGGAAAGAAGACGCTTGGTCGGCGACAAAGAAGGTGCCAGAGGGCGTATTAGTATCCCGTTGGTAGCGAGGACCAGGAGAGCAGAATGTTTGTGACCTCTGGCCACACCCAAACCATGAACCGGGAGGCAGCAAGAAAGAGCTGCCGCGCACGGATACGGTGAGTTGAACCCTTCAAGAGGTGCCTGAACGTCCTGGAGTCTGGACTGTCGGGAAGCCCTGAACCCCTCCACGCGAGCAGGGGGTTGAGGTAGCCAATTGGAAGGCTACTTGGGCCAAATCTTGAGCTGCCCGCGGTGGCTGAGGCGTCGACTTATGTGCTACGTGCCCGTCTTTGTTAGTGTTGGATTGCCGTGGGACGGATGCGGGTAGGGATGAGGTCGTCGTTGGTGGCTTGCACCAAGGTATCCTTTTTTCGCGTGTTTGGTGGCTGGTTGGCTAATGTGTCCGTAATGGAAGTGTAAGCCTCGCCTTCCAAGGCAATGGAAGTGTCAAATGTTTGTCGAGTGGAGACCCAATTCGGGACCGAATTCAGTTCGGGGAAGCGGGCCTTTGCTCTTGTGGTCCTGTGGAGAGACAAGAGGCAGGAGTCAAAGACGCAAGGTGCATGTGCTGGTCGTCGCTGGGCGTTTGAATGTAAGGTATCCCTTTGGCGTGATGGAAGAGGCGAAGATTGATACCTGGCAAACCCAGAAACCATCACGGACTCCAAGGTGGTCCGGATCGAGAGCTTGAAAGCCACTTATACAAACCCAAGCAACTGTGCGCTTTCTTCAACGGCCGGCAAGGTCTGTGGTAAGCGGTTGTCGGCCACCACGCCGCGACAGGTGGCAGCCACCTCCTTGGCGCTATCACATACTGTAGCCCGGCGGATGTCGGCCTTCTTTACGGATACACCAACCTAAGTGCTATCGGCCATCAACATCGGCTCAGCCCTACAGTCCAAGCATCAGACGCCATGATCTTCCGGCTTGACCCGCATTATTGACCTGGTCAACTGGCGTGTGCAGAAGCGACAGTCAGAATGAAGTTGGACATAGATGACCTGGTCACACGACGTGTCTCCATTTACACCCATTGACGCGTTTTGGGATACCTGAGATTGGCGGTACATCGGATTTTCGCCCTCTCGCCCACTCTTCTCGTTTCATCATCTCATCGTCTCAATCAAACCCTAGGTGATCTGAGGAGAGCAATGGAACCATCGAGATCCGACCATTTCGTACACGGCGGTATAGTTTCCAGCTTCCTGGCGCCGCATGACGAACCCTCTCCGGCCGGCCACTCAAATCCTCTCCGCTTCGAGATGAAATGTAAGGGCCGTTTCGGAGGCTTCTGAGATGCGCGCAACTTGACCCGGAACCCAATTTCCCCCCGCCGGGCCGACAGCTTTACGGACACATACTTCCAATGGGGAACATAGCTCGTGCGGGGGGTGGTGCTAGGATGCTCCCGGATCCACGATGCAAGTGGTGCACTTACCAACGGTGCAGAAGAAAAGGGAAAATACGGGTGACGAGTTTCCTCAATCAACCTCTTCAATACTCTCTTATTTGCTCAACCTCAAGCGGGGCTTAGAGTCCGGCAGCGGCAATCGGTCGGCCCCGGGAAAGTGGGTCACAACCCCCGGCGGGCCGTCGGGTCTGGCTCAATTCATCACCCCATGCCAAGATTGATGGAGTCACATTACACTCGGCAGTCATGAGTCACGATAAAGAAAAGGACCTTTCGTTTGGTCATTGACCAGTGTGAAATTCGGCAGCTCAAGATCGTCGCAACGCCGCTCACATACTAGGCTAAGAAGCCTTCTTGCCCACTATTATTGGCATCCCAGGACTGACGACAGTCCCTGGCGGACGTGTAATCTTCGTCACGACTGCTCCGACATGAGAGTCTGGAACAATCACCTTGATTTCCATCTTCATCGCCTCCAAAATAGCCACCGTCTGCTTCGCCTCAAGCACGTCCCCAACTTCTACCAGAACTTTCCAGACGTTGGCATTCATGGGCGACTCGATAGCCACAGCATCTGCTGATGCATCGTCCCCGCCCCCTTCACTTTGTTCCAACAGAGCCGCATCCTTGGCGGCAGTCCATTCACCAAAGAGCCGCTGCTCGAGCTCTCCCATTTCCTTGGCCGCAGCGTCCTGCCGCTGCCGCCATTCTTGATGTGCGGGATCGCGGGCTGCAGCGTCAAACTTGGCAATGTACTCGTCCATGCTGATGGTCTCATCGGAAATGTTGAACACATATCTACCGGCTTCAAAGTCTCGTTCTACTTGGTCAAATTCTTCCTTGGAGACCTCGTGGAATCTAACGATGTCAAAATTGTTGAACAACCAAGGTCGCGTCGGGGAAAAGCCGGCTCGAGTGCCCATCATATCCCACGTACCCAACGTGCGGCCCATGAGCTGGTAGCCGCCCGGCGAGGCTACGGGATAGACGACAAGCAGAGACCCGCCGAGAGCAACTGAGCCGCTTGGAGTGTACGCGCGGTTAGGGTTGTATTTCTGCCCCGTGAATACGTACTTGGGGTCGAGCGGAAACATGACAGGGGTTCCGAGGAAGAAGCCGACTGCAACTGTGAGCCAGGGTGTCTTGAGCAGTGAGTCAAATACATCGCGGCGAGTTTCCAAGGCGTTGTTCTTCCGCAAATATTCGACGTTGTCTGGTAGGTAGGCAGCAGTAGGCCGAACGCTCTCCATATATCTTTCCGTCGCTTCTGTGATGGTGGGGTGGTCAACATAAAGCGGCAGGCTGACTTCTCGAACGGGCACTCTGATGCCAACAATCTCTTCGATACTCTTGTCTTGCTCAATCAGGCTTTGCAGCAGCTCGGATTGGGAGATATGGAGCGGGTCGTAATGCACTGTGAGCGTAGCGAGGTTCGGCTCACAACGCACGCTCGCAAGGTTGCGCGCCGCAAGCTTTTCTTCGAGAATATGAACGCAGACCGTGTTGCGCAGATCCGCAACTTGTTCACCATATTCTACTATGATGGAAGTGTCGCCACCTTGCCTGTAAGTGACGCGGGGATGATCTCCCTTCGGTTCGGCCAGGTGCAATATTGAAGTTGTGGTCCGTGAGCCGAATTCCAACTTGAGTGGCACAGTTTCTGTATCATCGCCAGCCACCAGAGCACCCAAGGACCTCAAGTAGGCTTCGTTTGTGTGTTTGATTCTCATGGCATCCTCAAAGGAAACTAGTCGCAACTGAACGCTGTCGCCCGACTTCAGTTGACCAACTTTCCACATCTCGGCGGAGCAGATGGTGACCGCGCAAGCGAATCCGCCGAGGTCCGGGCGGTCGCGGGAAAAGATGATGGGAAACTCCCCGGTCCAGTTGACACCGCCGTTGGGATACCCGTAGTCGAAGATGTTTGATGGGTGGGATCCGCCTCCCCCGCCAGTGGTGCGTGCCCACTTTAGCCGTGGACCCTCCAGTCGAATGCCGCTGCGACTACTGTTGTGGCTGACGGTCCATTTGGAGTTGGTAATTGTCGCCATACCCTCGGGGGTCAGTATGTCTTCCGAGCCATACGGACCATTGAGGCAGAATATCTCCGAGTGTCCGTAATCAGGGATTACCTTTTGTGGTAAAGAAAAGGGTGTAACCGCAGCTGCCCAACTTGCTGACTCCGGGTCAAGGGCGAGAATATCGTTGGTCTGCAGCTTGCGCCCCTGGAGACCGCCGAACACGAGCTCTGGTGCCGTCGACTTGGAACCGAGATAAAGAGGTATGTCTGGGAAGCCTCCTTTGACTGCGAGGTAGGTCCGAAGGCCGTCACCTGTGACGTTGCCAATCTTGAGCGTCTGCCCCTGTTGCACGAGGATTCGGGACCACATCGGCTGGTGCTTGCCGTCAACACTGACGGGAACTTGGGCACCACACACGGCCACCACGGCCGATTCATGGAACAGGAGTTCCGGACCTGACATGGCTATTTCGAGGACCTCAACCTGAGGATCATTACCAACGACAATATTTGCTGCCCGACTGCTCAAATCATCCATTGGTCCGCCGGGAGGCACGCCGTGTCCGATCGTTGGTCTCCCAGGGTAATCCTGAACCGTAGTGAAGACGCCAGGGTTGAGTACTTGTACGGCGCACACCTTGGCCTTGAACGTGGACAGGAAAGAGGTGAGCGTGTCGCCGTTGGTGAACTCATTGGAACGTAGCACCTGCGAAAGGTACTGCAAATTCGTCTGTGTGCCTTGCAAAGCAGTCTGGTCCAGAGCGGCGAGCATCTTCCTCTGCGCCTCAGCTCGACCGCCATTGCTGTGTACCATGACTTTTGCGACCAAAGGATCGTAAAGGGGTGTGATTTGCTGGCCGCTCTTTACCCATGTGTCCACCCGGATACCATCGCCCTCGGGCCAGCTGACATGCTGTAGAAGGCCCGGGCTGGGAGCAAAGTCGAGCAGGGGCACTTCAGCATATACTCGGACCTCGATGGCCGCACCGTTCGGCTGCGCTTGTGGGAGGCTTCGTAGCTCGTCCGAGGGAATGCCGAGCTGACCGCCGTGCTCGTAGTCGGCTTGCTGCAGCATCAAGTGAACCAGATCAACACCGTAGCACATCTCTGTGATACCGTGTTCGACCTGGAGACGCGTGTTCATCTCGAGAAAGAAGAACTCGGCCGTTTCATCGTCGACCAAGAATTCGACAGTGCCGGCACTCTTGTACTTGAGTTGGGAGGCGTAGTCATTTGCCGCCTGGAGCATCCTCTCGCGTAGACCTGGTGTCCGCTCAACAAATGGACTGGGGCACTCTTCAACCACTTTCTGGTGACGTCGTTGGAGAGAACATTCTCTTTCCCCGAATGCAACCACTTTCTCGCCGTTTCCAAAGACTTGCACCTCTACGTGTCGGGATCGGGGATAATACTTTTCCAGAAAGACACCGCTGTTCTTGAACAGAGCGCCTGCGCGACTCTCGACAGTGGCGAATGCTTTTGGGATATCGTCGTCGTCGTAGCATATCTGCAAGCCCATACCGCCTCCTCCTCCGGTGGCTTTCAGCATGACCGGGAAACCAAGCTTCTTGGCCCCCTCTATGGCGTCGTGGGTTGATGGAATTAACGAAGTACCGGGGATGACGGGAACCTTTACGGCCTCAGCAATAGCTCTCGCTTCATGCTTGAGGCCCATGGCCTTGATGGAAGCTGATGAGGTACCGATGAATATCTTGCCTGCAGTCGTGACGGCATCGGCAAAGTCGGCGTTCTCGCTGAGGAAGCCATATCCAGGGAATACGGCATCAGCGCCGGTGCGTTTGCAGATTTCTAGAATGGTGTCGCTAATGTGCTTGTTAACGGCATGATGCTACATTCATGTCAGGATACTCACCCATCTGTGTAAGTGTCGTTACCCCGCAGCGCGATTGCCTCATCAGCTAACAAGGCATGCAGTGATGTTGTGTCGGCGTCCGTATAGATAGCAATGCTGTGGACGCCGAGCTCCCGGCAAGCCTTGATGCAGCGGACAGCAATCTCGCCACGATTGGCCACCAAGACCTTCTTAATGCTACGAAGTGGCTTGGGATGCATAGCTTCGTTGAGGCTTTGACAGAGTCAGCAATGGGTGCGGTCAGAGGACACATGGAGGGGTCAAATTACAAGTCTAGGTTTCGTTACCTCCAGTATATCAATCAGATCATTCCGTTCGTCCGCATCATGGTGATTCGAAGGCAAGACGCGCCCACACCGGGCCGGTGGCTACCCTCGATGCCTCTCCATGTCTTTACCCCAACAGCAAGAGTCCTAGGAGAGGGGAACGCATCCAGTAGCATTGCCGGAGTACCGGGTCGAGATAAGGGATCATCGGCGAAGCGCATGAAGGTTTGTCGGGCGGAGGTCCCGGTACCTTGGCTGTGGTAGGTTTTTGGTAAGATGATTGACCTCTTTGCTCAGTTGACGTCGTTGGTCTGTACCTCAAAGGGTGTGGACGGCAGATGCAGCAACGACCCCGCATCACACCAATTGATGGGGTCACCATGGGCACCCACAACTATCAGGAACCCCTGTCGGCGGAGTTCAGTGATAAGGACCACCTGATCCAGCATACCTACCCCAAGACATCCCTTTGGAGTAATGGACCCCAAACATCTACCCCAACGGCAGAGTACCATCCAACTCTCACTTCGACTGTTGAAGCGCTCTTATTAGACGACACTGAGGCAGCAAAGACAATATGTCTTCTTTACGCTTACTCCATCGTCTCCCGTTACTTCATACGGTTTTTCGAAGCTCAGCACTTCCTGGACAGCGCCCGTTGTCCCAACATTTCAGAATGGCCTCAGGACTGGCGCGCAAATACGAAATCAACGCCGACATGGGCGAAGGCTTCGGCCGCTGGAAGATGGGCCCGGACGAGGAATTGATGCCGTACATCGACGCCGCCAACATTGCATGCGGATACCACGCCGGCGACCCTTCCATCATGCTCAAGACCGTTCGCCTGTGCAAGAAACACGGTGTCAAGGCCGGAGCCCACCCGGGACTGCAAGACATGTTTGGCTTCGGTCGTAGAAAGATCGAGATCGACCCCAAAGACATGTACGCCATGGTGCTCTACCAGGTCGGCGCTCTCAAAGCCATCCTCAACTCAGAAGGCGTCGAGTTATCCCATATCAAGCCCCACGGGGAGCTCTTCTTCTACATGCAAAGAGACGAGACCATCATGAGAGCTGTTCTGGAAGCCTGCGCCACGTTTGGGGACAACATCCCGGTCTATGCATCGCAAAACGCCACACAAGAAGCCATGTGTAGGGAGCTGGGCATTCCGTTCCAAGGAGAAGTCTACGTCGACATTGATTACTCCCCTGAGGGGAAGCTCATACCGGTGGCACAGTCCAAGGTGGCTACACCAGAATCGTGCTACGAGAGGGCCTTATCCGCATCACTAAAGGACGAGGGCAAGGATAACAGCGGCGGCATATTCAGCTTTGGGTTTGAGGGAAAACCATTCAGCATCTGCGTGCATTCCGACCATCCGACGGTGCTTCAGAATGTTACGGGTGTACGCAATGCAGTCGACGAGGCGAACAAGCAGAGGTTCCCTAACGTCTCGAAATAGTCGTTTCTCAATATGATTCTAATAATGCCTCGAAGAAAGCATGTCAAGAAGATTCCGATGTTGGTATGAAGGAAACCTGAAGAATGTCTGCAGGCGTCTAAGAGCTGGAAGCGCAGAGTAGTGCAGCCAGCTGGCGGGCTTTCAGCCGGCAGCTGACATATCCGTGGCAGCGGACATGACTTGTCTTTAACGTTCAGCCAACTTTAACTCTGAAGTTACAAAGTGAACGCAGCTCCTTTGAAATTACGGAAACGGCGACGCCGGGACCGGTGAAATGGCCCGTGCTGATCTCTCGAAAAGTCTCAACGAGACTATAATGGATCATGTCTACAAAGTGCGCGCCTATGCTGTCTGGCTTGTCGACGGCGGAGCGCCAACCCCTTGGTCCTGGAAATTCGGATCCTCAGACACACGCCTTGGTGAGAATACCATTCGCCAGGACGGCTCTTGGTCATGCCGCATAAACCAGCAGCAAAACATGACAGCGTGCTATCCCTACATTCGAATCCTCCGAGGACAGAGAACCGGCGTCGTATAAAGTGCTATGGGCTCGGGGCACAAGGCGCGGGTATCCAGTGCGACGTCGGAATGATTGTCGTATCGGATACGAAAAGTCATCGGAGCCGCTTGGGGGAGCGCTGTGCAAGCAAACGACGTCCATACGGAGGCCCGCAAACTTGGCGAAGCCCATTGAAATGATCTAAGTGGTCACATAGGAGATACTCGGCTTGGCGATGCTGCTCTCTGGGTGCTTAAGGATGGCATCTTCGCCGCAAAGGTGCTTCCCGCCATGGACATTATATGGCATTAACCCACACTCTTTACTTCCATTAAGTCTTCTGCTCCTTTCAACGGCAAGGTCCGAGCCCAGTGCCCAAAATCTTCCAGTAGAACACAGACTGAGAGACATAGTTGAACCACTCGATGCATCTACAAGCTTCGCTTACAGCCTTCATCGCACTGACCTTACTTGTCTGTTCAGCGATCGCGGCAAACCCCACTACCCCACGCGAATCTCTTCATGGTTCCAATGGCTCTGCTCTGGTCTCTCCAGCTTGCATAGACCCTCTCTACAGTAAGCCGGTGATTGACAGCGAGACCGACGAGATCTCCCCAGGTCCCCATCACCACGTTGCGGGGCACTTTTCTAACACGTCCACTCGCTTCAACATCTACTTTCCGCCGAAAGATGCCTGGGGCGGTCGTTTCTTCCAACTCGCCTACCCTACCCAGTCCGCGAATGCCACTGAGGAAACCATTGGGTTCGGGCTAGACAGCAAGGCCTACACGGTCCAAGTCACGGGGTCAAATGGGTTCCGTGCCGAAGCAGCGGCAGCAAGGTACTCTCGGATTGTTGCGGCGCGACATTATCGTCTTGCAAGCACTCAGCATATCTATGGCTATGTTTACGGCGGCAGCGGTGGCTCTAATCAAGTTATCGGGGGTATTGAGAATACAGTCGGCGTCTGGGACGGCGCTGTGGCGATGGTTCAAGCCGTGCCGATTTCCGCCCCCAACAGCCCATCGATCAGGGCAATGGCGGGTTTAGTTCTACGGAACAGGAAGACCGAGATTCAGGATTCCATTAAGCCCGGTGGTAGTGGAGATCCTCTCTCAATACCATCAATGACGGAGCTCGAGCGAAGCATGCTGATCGAAGCCACAAAGCTTGGCGTCCCCATCCGTGCCTGGGAACAGTATGATGAGGTCGCAGACAGTTCACATCTGAACATCCTGCAGAATACCATTATCCAGCCTTCGGACCCTACATACGTCGAAGATTTCTGGTCCAAGCCGGGCTACCTCGGAACGGCGGATAGTGCGCTCGGAATCGCCATGAGAGAGGCCGTGGTTGACTTCAATGCAACGGTAGAGGATGTTCAGCTTGACAACGATGGGAAGCTGGTCAGCATCAGACTCGACACAGTCCCGGAAGCTGTTGCTGACGTATACGGGTACGACCTGGGTTTGCTTGGAGCCGATGACTTTAAATTAGGAACCATCAGCGGCACGTTGTCTACGGCCAACTACACCATGTTATTCACCGACTACACTGCCGACGCCAACGATGCCACTCTTACGAAGTTTATTGCAAAAGGAGTCAAGGTCCACATCGACAACAAGTCTTCTGTCGCAATGCACTCCTATTACAGACACCAAATCCCGGAACGAGCAGGATTCTACGGATTCGACCAGTTCCGGACCGTCAATGGCACGAACTGCCCCCAACGGACCCTTGACACGTCCAAGTCCCTCGCCAGATCCGTCTCTGGCGGTAATCACACTGGCACCATCGGATGCAAACTCATCGTCGTTCAGAACCTGCTGGACAGCGACGCGTTCCCGTGGCATGCCGACTGGTATCGTTCGCAAGTTAAGCGGCAACTGGGAGATCGCTTCGAGGACAATTATCGCCTTTGGTACAACGATAATGCGGAGCACTTTTACGAGAAAAGGCCTCCGCACCGTCTTACACTCATTGTGGCGTACAACGGCATCTACCAACAAGCTCTCCGAGACGTGGCAGCGTGGGTGGAGGATGGAGTGCCTGCGCCAGTTACCACGTCGTATGCTATTTCGGCCGACGACAACTCTGTCCAGGTGCCCCCTACAGCGACCGAACGGCGAGGTATCCAGCCGGTTGTTGAGCTTCTTGCAAATGGAAGATGCAGCTGTACGGTGAAAGCCGGCCAGCCGGTGACGTTACGGGCAACTGTCGAAACACCTTCCGGGACTGGCAAGGTTGTCAATGTCGAGTGGGATCTGACTTCGGAGGGCACATTTACTGCTGTAGGGCCCGCTTTTACGCCTAACCAGACTGTGACGGTTGAGCAGACGGTTGTCTACAACACGACGGGGAACTTTATCACTATTGCGAGGGCGACGTCTCATCGTCAGGGAGACCAGAGTGCCGTTTATGCGAGGGTGATGAATTTGGCTCGTGTGAATGTTATTGTAGTTTAGTCTTGGGTTCGTCTCGAAGTGCCTGGTCAGAATCAAGCTGTTAGCCAAATGCTCACAAAATTCCGGCTTGAAGGTGCCGTGGAAATATGAAGAGTTCGTTTCCCAGAGAATGAGGTGAATCATGATCTTTTCGGAAGTCAAGCCAAGGACCCAGGAATGTGCATGACAGCGGAAGTACTCTTCCAGGCAAGCGCAGTAAGGCAATGGAGACGGGAAACCTTGAAATACCGGCGGAATGGAAGAACGAGATCCACAAGCTCTCGAGATGGTATGGGAGTGATGAAAGATATTTGGTCGCTCACGTGCAGTCACCTCCCTCGACCGACGATGGTAGTTGGATGGCCTTGGTCTTGCATACCATAGGGTTGAGAGCGAGCGGAGGGGAATATACCGAGGCAATGAGACCCGTGGTGTCGAGATACGGTGGCATCGGATTGGCCTCAGACTTTGATGTCAGATACAAACTGATCATCATTGATGCCGACCACTCCAATAGTGTCGACTATGCGGTCTCGCTGGTCAAGTTGTCCCTCCTCGCGAAGACCGAAGATGCGACTATCTTGCGCTTCGTCTGGTTATCATCTGCCCCCGTTGACAAAAGTTTAGGTAGGATGCTCGCCGTTGCAACCAACAGATCAGAGGTTCCCATCACAGCCTTTCGGTTGACACAGCAGATCAAATCGGCGAGCTTATCAGATTTGAAATGGATTCAACACAAAGTAAGCGACGAGGAGTACCCAGACGCTGTGATGGAAGCTATTGCTTCAGAGCGTGCGATGGTTCAGGACCCGGGTCCGTCGGTACGTAAAACACCGAGAACGGTGGTCTTCTGGGACGGGGAATCCGAGTGGAAGCGGCACCTTCTGAAACATAGGTTTCTAGTGGCCGCTTGGAAGCACATTACCGGGAAGCATCTCGGAACACTCTGCATCGGCGGCGATTTGATGGAAAGATCGTTGATTGATGCCAAGAACGCGCACCATTTGGTTCTTGCCAAGACTAAGATAAAGAAGGTATTCGACGCAGAGACATCGCATGTGGTTTGGACAGATGCGCCGTTGTCGAGGGACCAGATGCTAGCTCAAGTAACCTGTGCTTTGGATAAGGAAGTGGAGCAGGCGGATAGAACCATCCACGCCCAAGTGGCACTGCAGGACATCCTTGGCGCGGAACCTGAGAGGGAATTCGAAGATATACACCTTCCTGTCTTCATCATGCATGTGATGAACGAATGTCCCAACATTGACATCGACCGTCTTCGTGTTTGCTTTTTCAAGGAGCCGGCATTCGCTGAGGCTATTCGTCGGCTTTATGCGTTGGGGTACATCTACTACGGCCTGAATGGAATCAGTGTACATCTCAACGTGTATCTGGCCCAGGAGACTCTTGGATTCCTGTTGATCGCGGGAAACGACTTGTCAGTAGCCCGCTTTCTGAGCTGCATAACAGCGGACACGCCCGCCACGGCGCGATCCGCGATCATTGACATTACGGCCATTGTGCTCGGGTGCCACACTTTGAATCCTTTCTTCAATATTTCAGCCGATTCCTTTACTGACGAAGAGTCTATCAACGGGCTGTTGCAGCGGCATTGCATAGACGTGCCAAACGATGCTATCAAGAGTGGCGCTATGTGGTTAGCTTTGGCTATCTTCCGCCGATATAGAGAGGAGTGGGATACTGACATGGGTCTCATCAAATTTGAGGATGAGAAGCTTACTCTTTCGTCCAATACATGTCGCAAAATTAGTTATTATGCGAAGGTGATCGAGGAACGTGTGATCCACTTGGTCCTGCAGGCTCAGGGCAACGCATCAGGAGCGGCGCTCGGAATCTCCCATGAAGAGGTGAGACAGATTCAAAGGGGCATGGTTCTCGCTTGGGCACACAACGTCCTTGTTCCCGACGGCAACGATGGCCTGGACAGCATCTTTTCCGGGAGCCCGATCAAGCTGCCTTTCAACCAAGGTCTGCGGCTCCCTCAGGATGCATCACTACATGTACTCAGCTTTGGGTTCGCCTTGCTTGAGTCGAAGTACTTTGCATGACTCCCGACGGTCATACCGGAACAGGTTCTGTTCGAGACTTTGGGCGAAATGGGCTGTGACCTGACGGACTTTGCTACGGTCTATTTTGGGGAGTATGTTTGGAAGAACGATGAGGATGATTCGGAAGGCTCGCTGGAGGACGAAGCGGATCAAAGCAACGAAGCATAGGTGAGTAGTCAAGAAGTTCCTGGACCGGCATTACCTCTTGTGTCGGTCGCTTACGTAGATCCTGCGCATGTCTCGAGGTAAGAGGAGAGAGTTGAGGGCACCAATTATAGTTTAATAGACTCTTTCATACCCAAAGCTGCTCAAGTGAAGTATGTTATGATCCCTCTCGGACCACTGCGTAACATGTCAATCGTAGATGAATAGAGCTGGCAATTTAACAAGGCGGCAAGTAGTCGTGAAAGAACCTTCAACTCGTCGAAGATCAAGTGATTCAGGCACGCTGTCAGCTCAAATGGTAACCAGTCGGCTTCAGAATGTTTGTATCTTATGTATGTCATTCAGAGAAGAGAGTTGGGAGGAGTTCCCAAGAATCAATTTGTGCTGTGTGTATCTACCTAGGATCGTTGAGAACGAAATACAAGCCTTACGACATGCCCAAAATGCAATCAAACCTCTGAAACCTTTTCGTTCGTTCAAACTTTTGCCTTTTCTTTCTTGCTATACTCTCCCACATCTCTCGAGGAAACTTCCTACTTCCCTCATCTCTCAGGACATACCCGTCTCTTTGTTGTCTCCATATTGTCGGCAGACTTCTGATGTCTTTGCACATAACTTGAGCCTTGCGTTTTGGTTTGCTTTCAAGGGTATGATCTCACCTATTTAGACTTCCCAGGCACTGTCTTGGTAGCCTTCTTCTGTCTCTCAAGGGCCATAGCAGCTATATAGACGCAACAGTTCTTCTTATGAATCTCGATGTCGATCCCACTCTTCATGACGATGTTGCAGTGTTCGACCAAGTCCACGTCACCATGCTTCTGCATGTGCGTACGATGGGTATCGGTGTCTAACTTCTGATCCCAGTAGCAGCCGGGTTGATAGCAACACTTAATCGAAGGCTGCTGGGTGGTAGACATCTTCGCTTCGATGTGCCAAGGAATTTGGTGTTGAGAGAAGAGGGACTCAGCAGTGCGCACTCAGGGGTCGGGAGAGAAAAATTTGATGGCAGCTAAGAGAACGCATGAAGAGAAAGCGAGAGGGATCTTTTACTCTTATTTATACTTGGTCATCTCAGACACCGCTCTTTCTCTTGTCGAACACTATTCCGACAATTTGAGAGGGCTGTGGGCGACGAGGTAGTCAATCAGCCACGTGATATCGCTCCATGAGCGCGTTATCTACCCATGAACGCTACCGCTTCTACTGACGCGGTTGCCTCGCGCGTTCTGAAGGATGCTATTGCGTTACGCAGTGTCAAGGGTCGGATGTGCAGGAGTTACATGAGACCAGGTGGCTGTACTTAGCTGACAAGGGTACCCAAGGATTGGCGAATGACCGGAGGCAGACTGGAAATTCATACGCCGGCTACCATCCCCGGGGGCAAATTCGTTCCCTCGAGCAAGATAAAGGTATGCAGGTAGCCAAGAATTCCAATGAGAATACAACCTGGGGGCTGAATGCTAGGCACTTCCTTGAGAGCTGACCATCCCGGACGACTCTCCGCGGCCGTTCCTTCATGAATTTGTAGCTTTTATCGCTAAGATTGTTCTCGGGCTCTGAAAACGCGATCCGGAGCATGCGGTGCTCAGAGAGCCTGACCTATCGTGAGTAATTGCCTCTGTCGAAGGCCAGCAATGGGTGACATTGGGGTCGAAATACTCCCGAATCTTGCTGAAATAGCTTCATGTCAACTAGTCAAGCACTTGAGGTTGAAGGTGAATCTTTCAGTAATCAATCTACTGTAATATGAACCCTAATGACCGAGATGGCGATTTGCTACACATATTCTCACTGCGGTGTGAGACCGGCCGCATTTTTGGCCTCCCAAGCATCGAAACCCCAATCACGTTAGGGAACTGCCCCCCTTGTCACCTGCATCCTGTTATGCATGTTGGAGCAAGGCAGCATTGAGGTCTTGTGTGAAGGGGAATTTCAGATTCCGATGCCATCCACCTACTTAGCGACTTGGTAGGGGAAAACGCATGGGTTAAGTAGTCCTAGCTGCGAATGTTGCCACGACCTCACGGCCCTAACGAGAGAATCATACACTGACTCAATGTATGCAGTGTATGACTCAAAGCCTTGGAGCTGCCGGCATGCATGCATGTAGGCTGGGTGATCTGCCCGCTCGGGGTGTAGGAAAGGCCCTTTCCGGCTTGCCATCATGCCGCCTTCTTCAAGCGAACCAACTTCTTTTATACCCCAGTTGCGGATCCTGCCACCCCTTGGAGAGGAAATCCATCATTTTCGAGGGTTAAGAGACGAACACGTGGTGTTCGACCATCCGTTTCGTGCCCACCGGCTGCCGTCACAAGCGTTGACGGCGTTACGGGCGTTTAGAAGCCCACAAGAGCTGCATGGCGCTCCCATGGCCGCTCGGGATGGCATCATGGGGTCTTACTTGGCCTAGGGATGATGTATTATTCGGTTCTCAAGGTGCTGTGAGGTGAACCCGCCACAAGCTTTTGGAATTCGGTACTGGCTTCCAGTGACCTCCCATCCAGTGGAAAGCTTCTGAGCACAGAGCTGTGAATAACGGGGTCTATTTTTCACGTCTATGGTTATTTGCGATGGAATCGAGTTGCGAGCTTCATTTGGATGCGTGACTGAAACTGTCGATGAAGATCGTTGCGGGATCAGAGGTAATAGGGGCAGTACACGTAGACGTGACGACTTGCTGATCCCCTTCTTCCTACCCCACGTATCATTGTATCTCAACGGGAGTATTTAATTGGTATATTTTATGGTAGTGTACTCATGCCTCCTTCAACAATCATCACTCCAGCACCGCATTGCTCCCGGCCGTGGCACCGCGACGGCATCACGTCACGTCAATCCTGGCCATCAGATTAGTTGAGATGCTCAGCAAGACATCCGGCTTCGCCATTCTTTCCATTATAAAATGCCAACATGATGTGTATACCTTGTCATTGGCCAGAACCTTTCTTTTGGCGTAGCAACAGTATCTTGCCTGAAGGCTCACAAGGCATAGGTCCTCCTTGTTGTGAAAAGACGGGAGACCACGTGGTAGTCAGACGTACCTCTGATGCCGTCCTAGTAGGAAGCTTCTCACCTGAGACGGGTAAATGCCAACCTCTGTGCCCATCTAGAGGGTTGGGAAGGTGCGGTCATTCTTTGGTCCTCTATCCTCGCCATGCTCCTGCAGTCGGCACGTCCTCGTTCTGGTCTTCGAGTCTCTGATCCGGGCCGACGAGCTCATGACGTTCTCTCGTGCTTGAGAATAAGAGATCAAGGATTGGGTTCAAAGCAAGACCATTGCATTTCGTGGTCTGGGTGAAGGAGCAAGGACATGCTCCTATGATTAGAAGTAGGTAGACATGCCGCCTGCTCAAAAAAGGAGAAGAACTCGCTGAACATTACCGGACTAGGCAGAGACCTCTTCCAAGAAGACGCGAGGGGTATAAGGGCATAAGTAGAATCGTTTCTCGCGGCCTTCGGTGGGACATTGCGACTTTGCTTCCTCGGTTAACATGTGTTTTTTGGGACCTCAAGTTCAGTATTGGCTTCATCGATCGAGAAAGGTAACAAACGCGGACTCTTGGTCTAATCATGAGCAAACGTCAGCAGAGATCTTTCAGTTGTCGCCAATCAAAGTCAAAAATGAAAGTCGATACGTCTACCTTCCGTACCCGCTCGTGACAAATATTTTCCGTAGGCCTACCGCGGCCCTGAACTGAGGCTTGAGGTGCAGTAAAGTTTGATCCAAAATAAGACCGGGAGAACATCGAAAACGAGAGACTGGTGAATAGCAACGTCAAAGTTTTGACAAAATTGCAGAGGCCCAGGTGCCATCAAGAAGGAAGCACTAGGAACGACAACTTGAGGGAAGCCGTGTCCTGCCAGGAGAAAATTTCAGTGTCGAGACGATGTGAGGCAACCAGGCATCCAGCCGCACGTCAGCTTCCTACACGAAAATATTTCATCCCATTAGAGGGATCATTTGGCGAGGCAGATTAATCGGGCTGTGTATCCTACTTTTGTCGGCTCGGTTCACGGCGAGTGCTCCTAATGTAACCTCCAACCAACCAACTGACAGGCCGGCCGCATGCTAAAGACCGTTTCTGCGAACGCAAGAAGCGGTCGCGACCCGAACGCTTCCAATGATTACAGACTCCTGTTTCCTAATCGAGTGATTGACGGCGCTTAATTTTTTCCACTTGGCGCGAACGTCATGAATGTCCACCACCGGGCCTTATGCCCTGCCACGTTGAGTGTGAAGAGCCCCCTTGAGCGCTTCCAAGTCAGTCACTTGACTATCAGCTCCAGTTTTGTCATCAGGTTCAATAAAAGTACTTTGTAACTTCGCCCCAGGCGTGGTCGATGCCGGCGTAGTCGATGCCGGTGTGGTCGAGTCTTGGATGCTCGGCTGCACTCGTGCCACGACAGGGGCGCAATTGCAGCCCCGATCCATCTCGTGCGAACCCTTAGCGAAGTGTATACTGCTGAACATCACGTTCGAGGCGGTCAGTAATCTTTCGGAGGAAGAGGAAGTGAAGCTCCCACTTGCACCGCGGCCGGCATGCTGGTCCCGCGCTCCCCATTAATGACCCGGGGTTGGCGTTCGGGGAGGCCCTTGCGAGGTGTGCTTGCAAGACGCGGCAACCATGCATCAAGCGGTTCGACGAGGCGGAATAGCCTTCAAACAAGATTTTTTTGTTCCTATTCGGTTGGGTTCCACAAGGGTTCGTGATGCTCTGCTGGTCCTGGGGGCCAGAAAATGGGGGGAGGGGGTCGGTGTCCTGCACTTTAGTCCGCCAGCGGCCGCTGCCAACTCAACTCGCAGGAGGAAGAGATTTGAGAGGCACTAAGTGAACGAACCCATTTATATGCAAGCCATGATATTGAGGAAAATCAGTCTAGTGTGGCAAATCTAGTACAGTGTCCCAAACCCATTCGCGTCTACATCTCCAGCGGGGCGTCCTCCGCCATCCATCATTATCAACCGGCGCGTCTCTGGAACAAGATTGCGTATCAAATTTTGCTTCTCTTTGCTTCTTCTACTCATAACCCATGCAGCTGAAGAATCCCGGTACCCATGATCTCCTTGTCCTAGACTCAATATAGTAGAAGCGATGCAACTGTGTGTATGTTGTGTGTGTGTTGTGTGTGCGCTGTGTGTGTGTGCGTGTGTGCAGCGAAACCCCTGGTATTGATCGCGACCTTGGCCTCAAAAGGAAAGACAAGACTCTCTAAATACCACGTAAGCTTGTCATATTTCGGTTTTCGGTTTCCGTGGTGATTCTTGTGATAGTTGACGGAAGCGTTAGTCTTGGGAGGAGGGCATACTCCTCCAGTGCCGCGTCATGAGGAGCGGAAAACCCTTCCTCAACCCGGCGTCTCGACAAAGCGAGAACAGACACCCACCAATAGTCTCGAGAGCCTCCGGCTAATGCAATTAATATGGTGGGTGGCTTCCCTCATCCTTTGGGAGGGTGTGTGTGTGTTCCAGCACAAGGCCAGACCGGGTGGGCTACCCGGAGGCCAACCCAGGCCTGTGCAGCAGGATATCAGAGTACCAATCTCTGGTAATGACTCAAAGTATTGATCCGTGTTAATATTCTCGGTTTCAAATCTTGCACATCTCGTCAGTTCGGCCAGTTTTTGCCCTGTCTCGCGTATTCCAATCTACCCCCCAAGCTGCGGACTCAACACCAATTCACACCCACCCACTCACACGGAGTCTCAAAGCCAGACCAGCTATTCCAATTTCGTCCTAAAAGTCCCTTCGAGCATCAATTTTCCTAGAGCACTGACATGCTGCCAAGCAGGGCTAGCTTTTTGTACTGGACGTGCCGGCGAGGGGATGCGGCAAGTCGGGGCCCCAAATTTACCAGGTTAGCTTAGAGCGTAGGCTACAGTTCCCTAAGGTATACGGAGTTGTGACGAGGGTTCTGTGAGTTGTACTGTGCTGAAAACTGTTTATTCTATTCTAGGATAAGTTCCTCCAAGTGAAGAGAAGAAGACCAAAATTGGCATTGAATCCCAGCAACTCCATCGCTGCCCTCGTAACCTGAGCTCCCTTGTATCGCCCTGTTATCCAAATTTCTGAAATTTACCCTCCAGTTCTGACCAATCTCGAAGGCCACTCCACCAATATTCTGTTATCGTACGTTCTTGCTAGTGAATCTGTTTCTAGTCGTGTTGTCGTGCTTGACGTGTTTGTCGACATGATGAATAATCTAGCTCGTCTGGCTGGCAGCGCAGGCCAGAGGGCCGCATTTGATTTTCAGGGAGATCTTTCCGTAGTTTGAGCCATGAATGATGATCCCGCCATTGTGGACGGAGAGAGCTCGGTGATTGACCTCAGCAGCGCCCTCGGTATCGTCACCGCCGTCGTGTTCAACGGAAGGCATGGGGGCTTCTGCAGCTGCTCTCATGTTCTTGCAATCGACGCAGGACTCTTTGTGGCGTTCAAGGTAGTGGCCAGTGTTGATGATGTATCTTCCGCATGGCGCCCAGCCTGGCGGTCCGTGATGGTAGAATATATGACGACCAAGGCTACGACCTGCGCTGGGCTGCCATCGGCACCTCTGGTCAGGGCATTCTTGAGAGCTTCGTTGCGACATTTCGGCTTGGAGAGTCTTTTGGTAGACAAGGAAGCGTGCTCGAGAGCAAAGTGATAGAGAGTCTGAAGATGGTTGAGTGTCGATGAACTGCTTTCAACTAACCTTAGACGTAGGGTCCTGCTGGTTTAAATGTTTGTTTCTCTATGCCTCCGGTAAGACTGAGCTAAGATGAAGCAGCGACTTAAGTTGGAATTGGGCTGTTGGAAAAGTCGTTGCTCGAATACAAGATGACAAGGTCCTAGGCCTGCTTCGCGCAGAATGACCATGCTACGATTTAGGATTCACATTTCTTTTTCATCACATCCAATCTTCCTAACGGTTCTTCCCTTGACCAAAGCGTAAATTACAGACGCGACGACGTCGTGTGGATGTGAGTACCTGCCACAGTTGGGCTCCCGGCAATTCCAAGATCTATGTGGTTGGAGTTGCTGGGGACCAAAGTTCGTCTCTACACTCTGTGGATACCTTGTTCTTCCAACGGTAATTGAGGAGACTGGTGGGCACACTGCTTGGCGTGATGGTGGGTTCAATCAGCATGGCACCAGATCAATCCGAGCAACCAGAACTTAGCGCAAGTCCAAACTCATTCCAGAGTACTTATCTCCATATCCGATCAGGTCCTGGGCTAGGTATCATGACAGCAGTAATGGAAACCCGACAGTGCATCGCCCTTTGGTTCCTCGGGTGCGCGGCACCGCCCGATCCTTGTTAACTCGCATCTTGTGGCGTGTCAAATTTGCGTCGACTCCGAGCCAATGCAGATAACTGCGAAGGTAGATCCTCCGACGTAACTGCAAACCAAGCTCTATAGCGGACAAGATGCAACTTCGTCTTTGACACCTAGGGGTGAAAGACAAGAGGTGAAGGGAGTGGGGTCAGAGAAGAGAAGAAGTGACCAGGCACTCCAGGGCAGGGGTCAAGTAGCTACGGAATACGGAGTAGGGTAAAAGAGAAGGGAAGACAGGGCTGAGGTGAGAGACATATCGGTTACCTTGGAGAGAGATTGGGGTGTCTGCAAACTCCCCGCGCTGACGCGCCGCGTCGAGGAGCGACTAGCGCCGCGGCGGTGGGAGTGGGAGAGAAACTGGGGGAAGAGAGTGACTGGGGTGAGACAGAGAGGACCCCTCTGGGGTGTCGAAATGGAGCCGTTAAACCAAATGCTGAAATGACCCCCCCCCCGGTTTTCGACCAAGAAGCGATCGCTTTTCGACAACTCGAGGGAACCGTGTCGCTTGCTTGCGTGCACAGTTCCGTTGTCGTGGGACCAGACTTTTCTTTTTCTGCTCGTCTGGAAATGATCTGCGCAATGGAAGTCTATCCAGCAGCTACGGGCCACACTGGGTGTTGCCAAGCCCCTCCAAATTATGTTCTCGCAAACCTTGACTCTCCGCTCCTTGTCCTTCCAGGCACGCCAGATTATCAAGCCTCTGCGGTTGCTGAGGTGGGATTGACTGCCAATCTGCAAGGTACTTTTCCGACCTTGGTGATGATGCGCTTCGTAGAAACCGCTTTACGTCGCATGGCCCCATACTATCTTGGGCGTATGCTGATTATTTCTCTCTGTGGCTCGACCGAGTTTCGTCTTCTGATAGCAGGATGGCCAAGTCTACCTGGGTTTGCCATTGAGTAGCATAACCCATCCAGGCCTTCGTTCGGCGTTTAATGCTCCCCGATCACCCCTTCAGTCTGGTCTCCCACTCATCAAGCCGCGTGCCCATGAGACTGGTGAAAGAATTAGTACCTCATAGAGGGATACTCTCATAGTGTACGATAGAAAGAAGTTTAACTAACCAAGAACATAATCGTAAGCGCCCCCTGCCTTTGAGCTTGGTCTTCCTCACCTACCGTACGGAGCCGGAGCAGTTCCAATGCGGGTGTATTGGAAGGGAATCGAAATCGACAGGCTGGGGCGTGGCAAGATTGACCCCGCCACTGGTCAACGGTGCTCCAATATCCATGATTCCCCAACGGCAACGGCACGGATACACAGACGGCACTACCTTAGTCTCCATTCACCCCGGCACACAAACGGGTTCCCGCGGATACTCGCATACTCTGCGTCCATCGGCGAGACAGCTTGCTTGACCTGGCGGGGGTCATCCAAAGGCCAAACTGATAATTTAAAGCTTACGGAGTACTTGGTCCATGTTTTGCTATCTAGATCAACCAAACCTAAAGAGGCGCCAGCATACTGAAGTGGAAGGGGTTCCGACATCTAGAACTTACATGAGTTTCGTTCCTCGGGGTGCCTTGCAGGAAACGTGATACACCGTCCGACTATGGGCTTCTCATGTGTTCACGGCAGACCAAAGCGAGCTTAAGTGAACCTCAGTTGAAGTATAGAGTTCACCGCACACGTCGCCATCTGACAACCAGGATATGTTGGTAAACTTTGGCACTGGCACCATCAACGCCGGTGGGGTGTCTTATTAGCTAGGTAGACGGCTAGGGTATTCATGTCACTTTCGAGTCACGGACAAGGGGTTTTGGGTCGCAAATGAATCAAAGTATTGACAGACAGTATTATGCCGGATCTGGGTCGTCTGGAACTCTCTAGAATATTCAGCACGTCACCCATGCTATCGTCACCTACCTACGTTACCTTACCTTAGCTTTGGTCTTTCAATCACGGTTCCCTCCCCGTACCTGTTACCTTGCGATCCAAACAAACCACCCATACTTGGCCAGTGAACGCATACTCCAGCGGATGTTTTTTGTCGCCTGTTGAGAACCAGAGGGTGCGTGGCACGATGAGCGTCTCCTGTTCCCGTTCCACCCATCCTGTACCCGTTCCACCCATCCTGTACAGCGTTCCGTACGGATCCCGGACACTAGGAAGCCTTACCCGTGCCGGTGTCTCTGGATCAGCCAGATGCACCACACCAGCGGCAGCCGCGACGGACAGGAGCTCAGAGAGATCCGGCGGATGGAGTCGGCACCAAATTCTCCTCTATCCATACGGATTTTCAAAAGTTTTCTGCTGAAATCTGCAATGCAAGGTCCGCCAGTCCGGACAGGGGTGTGTCAGACTCGTCAGCTCTCACATACTCCCACAATCCCAATATACATCCCAACAGGGATCCAAGAGACCCAAGGTCTCGATCCCAGTCCCGGCACACGGAAGCTATTACCCGTCACCCAACAGCAAGGTAGCTAGTTCGATCAAGTTTTCGTATCGCAACATTGGAAGGGGGGTCTCCTTTGTCCTACGTGTTACGAGCCGTTCAAACACCTCCAATGTAGTCGGTACCGATTGCGCTTTCTGCTGCTTATGAAAGACTCAGGATTGACGGGAGCCGAAGCGAGCTTAATTGAACGACGTCCAAGTACATCACACATGTTCTTACGAATATTAGATTAACGCAGCAACATGAAGACGGCCATTCTACCCCAATAGTCGGATCGGTATCAATCAGTAGGCTGCGCAATACGTTTTAGGGAACATTTAGGAGGAGTCTGACCTACCAAGCCGGCAGTACCTTCTTCTTCTACGCCAGTCGGTCACTGTACAGCGAGTGAGTCTTAAACTGTCAGATCTGTGACGCCCTCCGAGGCTACTCGGCGTGTCGACCATATTGTCCGTGCCGGCGTCATTCCGCCGAGCTGAACTTTTTGCCACCTGCTCCAAGGACTCACGGCGTGTTGAAGAAAGTCAGTCACGGATGGTGTTAAGATGGTAAAGCTCAACAGAGCCTTGAGCCAGGGTGTTGAATTGATGCTGGGACTCGTTGGGCAGCACCTATGGCCCGGACGACGGGCTACTTCTGCGCAGGACACGCGGCTTCCGGTAGCCTCTCCGCCCGTTGCAGCCGTGAAGGCATAACTCACGCAGGAGAATTGGCAGATACAACAATTCCTGAGGTCGCCTTCGGCTCGTTTTGATGTGTGCCACGCCAACTCCATAATAGTAGACAAGGGGGGGGGGACAACTTTTGACTTTGTCCCTCCCCCCTTGTCAGGTCAACCCTGCAGACTCAGCCCTCCAACAGCTCATTGGATATGACGGATGATAGTTTGGTAGAAAGCTGCCGCCAAGCTATGAACCCCTGCACGTCGGGACTAGATAAGCATATGCTCATTATTGTATCTCGCGAGGCTCGACAGGAGCCAATGTAAGGTACTCCGGAGGCCGCGAACCACCTCAATTAGCGGCCTGCGCCGTTGGCCAACGGTGGTCTCCACCATTCCTTTTGTTCGGCCCGCCCCACTCCGGCGCACGGCCTTCGGCCAGGCGTCGGATCGGCCGTTCCGCTGGGATCGGAATCAATTATCTACCGTGTTTGAACTCGTCTTTCAGCAGGGAAAAGTCTTGTGAGCATATGAATATAGAGGAATAGCTTCGGACTTTGTTGAGTTGACCGTTGAAATAGCGTATCCTAGTGAACTTGATAGTGAAAGGCCTGCTGTCCCCGGGAGGCTGCCAAGTCTGATACTCTCCAGGCCACGCATCTAACATGCGAGCGGGGAGTTTCTTTTCTTTCACCCCGAAGCTTACTTGTTGTCTCGAGAACGCGGGCTAACAAGGGGTATGTAGAAGATACATACTTCTCTCCCTGCCAAGACAGCTCCATTGGGTGGCCAGGTACGAGCGAATCACAGACAACCAGCTAGGGCATGCAGCGCCAGGTAAACCTTAAGTCTTTGAAGCTCATCGGAGCTATAGGTGTCACTTGAGATGGCATCATGACAGCCTCGGCGTGATCTATTTCAAGCCAAAGTGCCATTGCCGCCTCCAGATTGGGCGATCTCGCCGGTGAAAGCAAATCTGACTCACCACGCTAGCTTCTAGATCACAAATTAGATTCTATCATTCGGATACCCTGCCCTGAAAAAGAGGCAGGGGAATAAAAGCAAACATGTCTCACCTCACGGCCTCCTATCGAACACAATCACGGCTCAAGGCCGGCGAAAACATTGGATAGTATATATGAGATCACATGTCAATGACGCATTCTCCATGGGGCTAATGGACTACCTGGCCCCGCCTCGCTCATATATGGGTAGCTGAAGTCCGATGCAGGCAGCCGATATGGCAGCCCGGCCCGCTCCTGGCTGACCTCCTCGAGGTAGCGTGCGCGAGGCAACACGAGTAGAGAGCGGCTGCCAAGTCAATGAACACTGGATACAGGACTATGTCTTACCTTACTCGGACAAGGTCAGCGACGCGTCAAGCGAGCAGAGCTTGGGAAAGCTCTGCTTGAGAAAGTGTCCGGATTGCTGGAGATACTTCCGCATTACTGGCTGACAGGGAATACTGTTGCACGGATGGGCGATGGGCGACAGCAAGAAACAATCCCCGAGCCGCTGCACTCTCTATCACTTGGGCTTTGCCATTCCAGAGATATTGGTTCATTGCACCTGCCCATGGAAACCCATATTGAGTTTAGCCTCCATTTCTGCTGATTCGGAGGATGCGCACCACAGAAGATCTGTCTCAGGGGAAATAGCCGAAGCTTGACATAATGTTATTGAGTGTTTTCTAACGCAACAAGAATTTGCCCCCATCTCTCGATTAAAATTCATATACCTAGAAATATTCTTGGATTTATTCCGGTGAGCCAAATCCCTGGAACCCCTCCGCGGTTTGACAATTACCAAGCCAGTGGCCTTCCCCTCGAGGCAGCCGCTCTTTCATCGTAAACCCATAGGTCGGACATCTCCTCAATGATGGGATGGTTCATGGAAAAAGAGTCATTGAGCTTTCCTTACTGTCCGTTTCCGTCTTCGAAATGAAATGAGTTGTCAGAAGTGTACGGGTCATAGTATGTGTAAGTGTCTGAAGGCTCTGCAACGCTGCCATTGCCAACACTCATGTGTCGTCCCATGGCGTTCGAGAGGGTTGTATCTAATAATGTTGACGGCATCTGAGATTCGATGATGCTTCCGATTAAGCCAATCAATGTTCCATTATCAACAGGAATGGCCGAGCCCAAGGTAGCTGGGACGAAGTTCCGCACTGTCTGAATGTAGTCTGCCGTTCGAGGACCTGTGTCCATTTGCCGTGAGTCAAATCCTTCGACTCTAGTTGACTCCTTGTAAATCGGATCACTGGATCCTGGAGAAGTGTTGTCTTCCATCCAAGTGGTTTTCGATTCGGTTTCCAAGTCGTTCTGGCTTGCGGGATGGCCTCTTCGAAGGCATTTGCATGTCTTGCACTGGGTCTTATGACGCTTAACATTGTCTGCCCTAGGCTTGAGCCGGCCACCACAGGGCATTCCAATGCGTGCTGAATGAACGGTCTTGATGTGTCTCTTGTGGTTGCCTTTTTGAGTGAACGTCTTGCCGCAGCATACGAATGCCTCTGTAGAAGTCATGGTGATTTAGGCTGTCGTCTTGGGTGGTGATACGCAGATCTACAGAATTATGGTTCTCTCCAATGCTAAGGCATTAAGGAATGAGAATAGAAGAGAATGAGTGTCCACGTCTACTCCTAAACATGCTTGAAGAAGCAGCTAGTATTTAAGGTCAGCGGGGTTGGAGCTTTGGGTAGTGCGCATGAGGAAAACAAGGCAACGAGTCGAAGGCCCTCCACAGCTCGCGAATACGGATAGCAGTAAATTTCGTGACGCGGAGTCATAGCTTTTCCGAAGCCTTTGGGGTCAGGTCGAGCCGTAGTAACTTGTCTTGATGGAACAAGCTACGGAGGGCGGAACGCCTGGCAGGAGGCACGATGGAAGCTTGCCAGGCGAGAGACCGTATGTGGTGGAAGTAAAAACGGAACGTGCTTAGATATAGCTACCGTATGTCGCTGTCTGCGCCGAAGAAGTGGGCAATAGAACCAGTAAACGAATCTTAGCATAGACACTCATGATGCTCAAGAGGCACGACTGTACCTCCCAAGCGAACATCGACCCACCTCCAAACGCTAGACTATACTTATATTTGCAGTCGAGCAAGACGGATGTCATCGAACATAGATAAAAGAAGGGAGTTTGTTGGGAGAGAGACGGTCATCCGTCTCTCGTCTCGCTTCTGAGGTATGCGGCTGCCGTTATCCTCGCCGTTCCGAATCAATAATGTAACGCCAAATGAATGACGGGAGCCAAGCTAGACGGCTGGAGTCAATTATGAGCTGCCCATTTCTGGCATCGAGAGCAGGATGCGTTGAAAGCTTGAAGTGAATCTCCGACAGTGGTCGCCAAGAATACGTAGAGATATTCACAGGGTAAAGAATATTGCTCATATTGGGTGAAAGTTGTCAAGTTTATCTTAGAAACGGGGGCAAGAACAGCTCTTACTCCATTCTCACAGTGTTCTGAGGAAGCTTGAAAGTGAGGCGAGAGACATTGCTAGCCCCCACATCTTGCAGACACACTCCTCCTCGCACTCTCATCCCTGCCCCTCAGCTTAACCGAGAGACTAGCTGCTCTACGTCGAACAATTGACGGGCCAAAAACGGGGACAGTCCAGGCTTCGGAGCTGAATAGGCAGCAACTAAGAAAGCGGCATCCCGAAGGCAGACAGGATGCTGTAGTTGCTCCCAAAGAGATCGGCATCTGACTGAGTCCACGATTCTGTCCGAAGAGGTTGATGCCGGCCAAACGATACCAGCATAAATTCATTCAAGTGTCTAATTTCGGAGGCATCTTTCATGCCCCATGGACTTTTACTTTATCGTTTGACCTATTTTTCGAACAGAAGCAGCAAAAGAGCGTATGCCCCTGAAAGACTGCTGTCGGACTTTGCAATATCGGAATGCGGGAGAAGGACGATGAGGAATGGCAGGTTGATAGTCTGTGGGTCTATGGAATGTTGAACCGGCTCAGCTTCTTCCTTGACTCTGATCAGCACACACGCGCGGGCCATCCCGAACGATAGGGCCTCTTGGGCTTTCATTCAACCTTGACTGAGCGAACCTTGACTGTAGTCAGGACGAAAGCCGTATGAAGTGTTGAAGTGAGGGACGATAGTGTGGAGGACTGGGGGAGAATAGTCGCGTCTAGCTTCGTCGTAGTCTGCTGATAAAGGCACCCTTCACCACGATTGAGACACTCAAATTACATGGGGTGGGTTGCAGGCCCCCCCTTTTTTCTTTTCTCACCTTTCCCCGTGGCTCTTGATTCGCCCAATTCCGTGCTGCGGCGATATCCATGGACCGAGCAGCCCTGTGTGAGAGCCCAAGAAGCCGACAGGTCGGTGCTTCCGTGGCGGGCTTCTCACGGTGACGTGTAGAAAGCTTGTTCCGCGGTAAAAGAACGATGATGCCTCACTGAGATATGGGGAAGAAATTGGCCACCCGCTGGCACATCAGTCCAGTTGCTTTCGGGACAACCACCTGCCTCCTTCCCACGATGAACATTTACATCGTCTTAGCTTGATTTAGGCCTAGCAGGTACTATACTGTCGTTGTACTCGAATAGTGACATTCACAGGTGCGTTGCTACTTTTATTTATTTCGTTTCTTCTTACAAAAAGAACAGTTGTTCATTTAGTTCCCTTGTGAGGCTGTCCAAGTCGTGCTATTGCAGGTAGACTTTGTTCGCCGGGACCGCGAACAAGAAGCGAGCGAGACACGGCTCGATTCTACTCACCGAAAAACATATCATAACTTTACCTCCGTTACTTGTCATTGTCTTGAAACTCGGAGACTAGATCGTAAGTTCAGTCAAAGGCGATATCTGTGGATTACACTTGTCGCTAGTTGAAGGACTGGTACAAATTCGGGCCGTTTGCGGCCATCCATGCGAGCCCAACACTCACTCGCCCAATCCAACACGACAGACTAGAACTAATTCTGACATCGTTACAACCTTGCGTTTGAGCTTATTGGGACTACATTGCAAGATCAGCGAGCGCTTTTTTTGCTGAAGAAGACGCTGTCGCTACCGAGACTATGTCATGGTCTCAGGAATCGACCAGTTCGGTTAAGGCGCCCTACGAATAAAACATCAAACGAACCAATTCTGCATTAATACATGTAATAATCATGTCTAAATTTGTATTGACCATAAGGTATCCTTGGAGCCGTAGTCTTCCTGCCGTGGGGTATGCCCGTAAGTAGAGACGTCGTCCCATTTCGATATGGATTTTAAGCCTTTACGATGTCACTGATTCGACTCGCCACTTCCTCTAGACTAAGTTTATCGTTCCAATCTTCGGTGATATTTCATGATGGTATTCGACTACATCCGTGCCGTCCGCTGAGGAGAGGCACCGCAGTCCGGGAGACGACCGATGTATCCCCACAATTAGCCGGTCACTGTCTCACAACTTTGCCGGTAGCTCCGGTCGGTGGTGATCGGTGTTTAACGAGGACATATGCACCACGAAATCTTCACAGAACCTATATCAATAAAGGAGATAACTCGAAAACTTTCTCATTTTTCCTTGTTTTCAGCACCTGAGTAAATTACCTTCCACAATCCTTGCTTAGGGCCATGTGCTCAGGCGATATCGACTCGACCTTGACTTCCGGTCGAAATGGGTCAATCCGACAGTACTAGTTTGATAAGCTTTGCCTCAGTTCAATGTCCATACTGCAATTATTAGGTAAGAAAGCGATGATACTCCATAACATCATGAGTTTAGAGACATACAACTTCGTGTTTTCAAGAGGGACAATTGGCATCTCAAGTGAACCATGGTTTTTCTGCAAATTCTCTTCCATCTCAAACAATCGTCCACCTTGCAGCAACTTTGTCGCGCGACCAACACATTCCTTAAACTATGCAGCGACTTTGTCGTGCGCCTTGTCTTCACCCAAATCTTCCCTGATTCTCCATCAAACGCGATGACTAGACTGTCTGTTGCCCTTCAAATATTGAGAAACAGTTGGTGCTCCTCTTCTGTCAAACTCTCTCTGTGCGCAATTTCCGCCAGGGTCCCCTCACTTGACTCCTCGTCCCGAGGAAATTCCTTTGCGAGGTATGGCTCCTTGTTTATCCAAGCCTGGTCTTCAAACTTCTTGTACATCTCGTTTCTCGTGAACTCCATGGTCCATGGCATGCCCGGAGCTTCGGCGAAGAGGTACTCAAATGACTTATCGAGCGCATCTTGAAGAACCTTTATGAATGGAAGCCTCGATCGGATCGGAGGTTTGTTGGCACGCCTCAAGACAATCAACTCAGCTTTGATTCGGGTAGACAAGCTCTGCGCGCGTGAGCACTGATCCCAGCAGTGCATCTTGGAATTGCAAAGCGGACACCCTCCAATAGAGCCGTCATCGTCAGGAAAGGCACAGTCGCCAAGCCAATGGCCGTGGTGGCCGCAATTCGCACAGGTATTTTGTTCTCTATATCGATCATCTCTCTTGAAAACTTCGGTCCCATGGAGCTGGATCCTGATTTGCTCATCTTCGGACAATGCATACTTGCCCAAATAGGGGGCCACAGTTCGCTGTGTAATGTCGGATCGGTGCAAGTTACGGCCCTTCTTATCGCCTCTTGTTTGTTTCTTCACTCTGGTGCTGTGGTTCTTCTCCATCTCACCACCATGGTCGAGTCGTTTAGTAAGATCTGAACCCGTTTCCAAATTGCTAATACGCGCCGCGTCGCTGGTTGGGCTCTTGGAACGGCGCCTCTTTGCTGCAGTGTCGTGACTTGTCGTGTGGCGCAATGGAGAACGACTGCGCCATGAAGAAACCGGCTGATTCCCGCTCTGGCTTTCCAACTGAACTGAGTGGCCCTGATCCTGGGCCCCCCAAGCAGGTGGTCCGCTTGTAGCTCCCCAAGTAGTCACCTGAGCCTGAGCCTGAGCCTCAGCTTCGGGGCCTTGGAGCCCCCAAGCAGGCAGTTCAGACGGAGCGCACCAAGCAGGGGGGAAGTTCGTGGGCCCCCAGGAAGCCGGCTGATTTCCGCTCTGGCCTTCCAACGGAACTGACTGGCCCTGGCCCTGGGGCACCCAAGGAGGCGCTGCAGACTGAGCGCTCCAACCAGGCCCCCAAGCAGCCGGCTGATTTCCGCTCTGGTCTGCTTGCGGGACCGACTGACCCTGTCCCCAAGGAAGCGGCTGGAGTTCGTTCTGGCTCGGGCCTTGGTCCATCAATCGCTTCATCTTCTCCTCTTCATGCGCCATCCTCCGGGCATATCTGCACTGTGGAGCCTTGGAAGCATCATAGAATTCCAAAAATACCCTTACGTCGGGATACTGCGATGCCAGTGTCCCCGTCCGCTTGTGGATCTCTTGAGCGATTGTGGCAGAATCCGATACCACGACGGCGCAATTGCCCGCTTCGATGGTAGCGTAGCCGAGCTCGTTCGGTTTAGGCATCGCCCTTTCTCTCGCGCCTAGACTAGGCGGTAACATAGCTTCGCTCTGGTTGGCGACATTGCCGTTCCCGTTCCCGTTCTCGTTGTCGCTGCCGCCGCTGGTGCCGTCTGCTTCTCGGCCTTTTGGCGTATAATTCGCCACGTCGTGATCTTTCATCGCTGCTCAACTCGTTAAAATTCGATTTTTTGGCGAAAAACGTGTTGTGACGAGGATGAACAATCGAAAAGGGAATTAAAATAAAAAGGGAAGGAAAGACTGCGGGTGCCTTGGTAGTTGGTGGGAGTGGGGCACCTTTTTGCCTACACGTCCAAGATCATGTAAGGCAGGAGGAATTCACGCGTATTCTGGAGAAATTTCTGAAAGAACCAAGCCATCAACACCTCAGAATGGTACGGTAATTTTACTCAAGTAAATAACAAGACCCTACAACTTTCGCGCTCCAATGACAAATCGCTTGTTGCCATTGACAGACACATATCTTGCCTTGGACCATTTACCCCCGACTTTTTCATGGTATGTACACCTCACCCCACGCCCACCGACGACCTCTAGTACTACATAATCCGGGTTACGTGCTGGTCGCATTAGGCAGTACGTCAACTGCACCCGGGCAATCCCTTTCAAGATCTCTGCTTTTCCCCAGTGACCATCGTCTAAAGCGTACGCCTCATATGCTCTCGAGAACTCCTCCAATGTGTCGTGGCCACCATCATCAGAGTGACACGACTCAAGACGACTTTGTGCCATCTGCTCTAGCTGTTCGGAAGCCGCTTGCGGTCGATGACCGTCGTCATCCCCCGACCCTATACGGCGCCTTTTGGGACTTCGACCTGGGGCTCCCTGTCCATTAGCAGAGGCTTGAGCCTTTGCGAGACTCAACTCCGGCCTTGTGGTTGCCTCTGGACTGGTCTGCGTTGCCGAGTCCATCCGCACAACGTTTGACGTTTCTTGTAAACGCTGTACGGTGGCGAGTGCTTCTTGTAGGGTGACAGCTTCCTGGCGCCTCTGCTCTTTGGTGCTGTCATTCCATTCCGCGATTTGAGTCTCCCGTGTAACCGCCATTTCCAACTGGTGTTGTGGCGCGCCAATTTCCGCGTTGAGTACGTCACTTCGGGTGCGTTCAATGTTGATTTGATCCTGTATCAATTAGACGACCTCGTTTTTGAGGGCTTCAATCGACTGATTCGCTGTTGCGTGCGCTGTAGCCTCGTTGTCTGCTCTGGCTCGCTGCTCTTCGATCTCTTGGTCTCGCCGATCAAATGTCTCTTTGACTTGTCTCAAATGGTCGACCTGCTTCTCGAGGACTTAATCGACTCATTGGCTGCTGCATCCGCAGTAGCTTCCTTGCTGGCCTGGGTCCGTTGCTCTTCGAGCTCCTTGTCTCGCTGGGTAAGTGCACTTTGGGTGAAACACAGCGTCTCTTGTTCCCTCCCTAGCTGGACCTGTTGCTGGGGTAGCGTCTCCCTGCTTGACCGTAGTTCCGCTTCGACTTTGGCCGTCTGCTGGATAAGTTCTTGCTCTCGTCGCTCATGTGCCTCCTTCATATTAACCAACTGGCCCTTTTGACCCTAAAGCTCTCCATCTCGCATGGTTACTGTCTTCTTCAACATATCTATTGCACGCTGCAGGGGCCCAACTTCTTCGGAACCTTCTTTATAAGGTCGTCTCTTTGTTTACGAATGTGAATCAGGCTTCTGTCGAGGTCTCTGACCGTCGCATCGAGATTACCAGTCTTGACTGTGTTCAGGATGATCAGTGCAGATCTCCCAGGAGGTTCTTTGGTTGTTCTGTCTCATTGCCAACTCTCTCTGGGCCTTGCTTGTCTCATGCAAGGAGGCCTCTAACGCTTGACGCTGCTCTTGTATTTCTCGCTTAATCTTTCCCAGAAGCTGCCTCGATATGGTTCTTTAGATAATCCCGCTGGGTAGCAAGGGCATCCAAGTCGTTGTCGTGATTTTTGATGTAGGCCTTGAGGCTGGTCGTCATGCCGTCTACTGCTGTTCTCACTGCAGTAAGTTATAGAGTGCTTATAAGTGCAACGGCGACATATCGTGTTCATCATCTTCATCAGCTTCAGTTGTCTCATTCTCGGAAGTGTCACGTTTCCCAGAGCTCACGAGACAATGACATACATAATTTTCGATGGATGTAGCTCGCCAACAGAAAGGGCACTACCGGAAGTCGTTGACCCCGCACGAGCCCTCATCCCGGCCCGGCGCCGGGGTCTCCACCTTTCTCCCGGAATTTCTGCCTTTGTGTCTTGAAACTTAATTTCTCGCCGACAGCAACGCTGCAAGTAGCTCGCGCCACATGGAGATAAGGTAATAGCCAATGGATGCATCCAATGCACGCCGACAGGTCGATTTCCCATCGTTGCCCGCCTGTGTCTTCCGCGATTAGACAGGTGTCAGAGGCCGATGAGCAACCACAATAGAGCTAGACCTAGCTGTAGTCCAATTTAGCAGTTGAAGAGGTATCCGCAGGTTGAATCGCTAGGTGGACGAAGCCTCCCACGTCTTGTGGGACCCTGGTGCGTTCGTCCCCCTCCAGAGTGCGGGGTCGCTTATCCGCCGAGAGAAGATCGGAGAGCTCACGCATTTGCTATTAGAGAATCACATACTGGTTTCCAACTTGGTAATGAGGACAAGCCAAAGTTAACTGACCAGTTAAGAAAAAAATTCAAACGGTACTTTATGAACTGAAATTGCAAAAAGAGTCCCTCGCATAGATTCGAAAGTTTGTGTGGCAGCATTTAACCATCTTTCAACGCCCAAAGGCTGACTTCCTTTTAACCCCCGTGGCGGGGCTCTGCAGCCATGTATCGCAGGCCAATCACAAACTGGTAGTCCGCCGTCTCGAGAGTAATGTAGCAGGGTAATCCCAGCAAGCTCTCAATCCTGGAAGAAGAAGGTGGTGGTGGGACCAATTGGGTAATACTACAAGGTACTTGTGCTTGGTCATCCATCAGGGCCAAAAAGGAAGCGTTGAACGTACCTGAAGCAACATGTCACATGGCGCTTGATTGTAATTGTTGACCCAACTTTCACAGTATTAGAACACACCAAACACTGTGTATCAGGTACATTAGCAGCTCACAATTGACCCGAGCCGGCACAGGGTTCGAATTCCATTGGACACGCAGGCAGCATATTCAATTCGGTTTTGGACTGAACGTCGAGGACGACATTTGCAGCAGCCTGGGGAAAGCCACTGTTAGGGGAAAGGTACCCCAAGTTCCCCTGAGCCTGGTACTTTGGGTTCGCATGAAGTTGCGCGACCGCCTGACTGAACGGCGCCAAGTACGGTGATTCACACTGTCAGCGCCGTTTCGAGGTGTGCTGTCTTTGTTGGAGCAGACGCGGCATCTCTTCTGGTGACGCTTGAGATTGTCCGTGTGGTGCCGCAGCATCTTGTTACAGGCCATTCTGGCTGGTGGGCCATGTTTGGCTGTCATGTGCCGCTTGAGATTAGCCTTGGTCGAAAATGCCTCCGACGTACAGTCAACTACCGTACACGGGAATGCCTCCCTCGTCTTGTCTTGGGGGTCTTTCATAGATGCAGTATTTTCGTTTTGCCGAGACCCCGTGATATCAAAAGGCCAATGAGAATGCAGTGATGACAAGGAGGTATATGGGCCTGAAGATGTCCCAAAGGCGACAATCAGAAGTCCGGGGCATCCATTGAAATGTCGAGAGGAACTCAATGTTGAATTACACTGGGCGAACTGTTCGCAAACATTAACAAACCACCAGGCTCAGGCGTTGATGTCAAGGCTGGTGAGGCAGCGGGACTTGTTTCTCAGTCCTGTGTAACCGCACCTTGTCTAGCGGATAGAAGACCCCCAGAATCGTAGGCTATCGCTCTCCAATCTTTCCACCGACTATGCCTGGTTCTTGAATGCATGACTACCTTGCGTGCTTGCCTATCGTGCCTACAGGCCTACTGTGCAGGAGCATGAGCATTCGAGCCGAGCCGAATTTGAAGTTCGAATTGAATAGATCTCAGTATTCCTAAGAATACCTACTTTCCGATGTATACTTGGGCGAGTTGCTTTTGCGCTTCGCTTTGGCATAGGCCACAGATTCGAGGGCTGCTTTCCGGATCTGGCAAGACTTATGGAGTGCTCATACGCCTCCAATATTTTGAAGGGCAGAACGCTCGAGACCTCACATCCAAACCTTCATGAAAAGCAAGAGTCGGCTTTTGCTTCCAATTGGACAATCCTTGTTAGAGAGTCAAGTGGGAAAAGCCCTCCATTTCTCTGCATGCCTCTCGGCCAATACTCGACCAATGACAAAGTTTGTATCAAGTTCTCTGAGCCAACATCAATCGTCCTGCAGCTTGCCTGAGCGCCTAGTCAGTTGCCTTGCTTGGCCACGGCTCAAGTCGTTCGCCCCCTGACTTTTCAGAGGTTCAGCTGACCCCTACTTCGTACCTTAGATAGACAAAGTCAACAACTCTCTCCTCAATCTTGAGCAGTCCCTAAGAGTGCGCCGGTTATTTCAGGTGAGCGGCGAGCCTAGGCACTTGAAAGCCTTATTCTCCTCCTGGATCGGCACATGTGGTTGCGTTATTTCATGTATTTTCTTCGAGTAATTAGTTCACTATCCTTTGGTAGTCATTCTAAGCAATACATTCGTCTTGCCGTGTAATCTTACCTTTGAAGGGTCAGCCTGTTTAATTCGTTTCAGTCACCTCTGACTCCGTCTTAGCAATCACTGCCCTCTTCCCTTTCTACTTCCTTTTCCTCTTCCTTTTCCTCTTCTATTTCCCCTTCCACTTCCACTTCCTCTTCCCCTTCCTCTCCCTCTTCCTTTTCCTCTCCTTCTTTACTAGCAAAATCTATAGGCCAGGCGATCAATTTCCGCCCAACGACGAAGTTGTCTAAGACACAAGACTCGCCGCAGCTTACTACTAATCAACTGATCAACTAGAGAATTACATGATTGATCAAGCTCACTCGCCTTCATACCCGACGGCTCAAACAGCGACCTTGCCAGATTGGCAATCATCGAACACATATTCAGTCGATTCTTTCGAAACGAGGCATACAGATAAGCGACCCGCGGAATCACAACTCCTCTCCGACCCGAATCTCAACGATTCTGGCAGTAGTCTTAAAGGCGACACGTGGCGGCGTTAATTTTTACGGCAATGCGGGGGATTTTATTGGCATTACGGCTCTTGCGGTGCCAGATTGTCTGAGCCCGCCGAACGGGTCTTACAACGTCATCCCCATCGATTCTGAGGTCACCCTAATCCAATGTTCGACGGTCATGGCACATGAGTTCAGTTTTCAAGCACTTTAACATGATAAGACCTGTATCATAGCCTGCCTTGTTCAACATCTTGTTGGCCCACTTGCCAGCCTTGTCTGAACCGCCGCCACAAGCCCGACGTTCCCGGACCACGGTGAAGCCCTTGTAAAGCAACAGAAGATGATTCCTAAACCCAACATGCTTCAAGAGCATCTTACTCGCTCGGAATTATGAGTCCAGGTGCATGTGCTGACTAACGCCTTTCAGAGAGAGACCTGGATGCCGCATATTATAATCCCCGATACTTGTAGCAACATCGACCGCATGCTTCTGCCGGATAGCCCTCTTCGGGAAGACCTCGACACTAACATATTGTATGCTAATCCAACCATATTCTCTTTATCTTCGCCAGTGAATAATATCAAGGTAGACCAGAATAGAGTAAAGCTAGACACGGACGTATCAACTAACGACGGACCTTTCGGCCGATTGATGCAATCCAACGCCGGCTCTGGCGGGCAACCTCCTCGTTTGTGGCGACGCCTTCTTCCACACTTTTGCGGAGCCTACCAGTGTACTCGAGGATCTCATTTGTGAGAGATTCTATTTTTTCGTCACTCAACGGCATCATGGATACTGCAGCGACAACATAGCGCAAAGGCCTGGCCATCGGAGGGCCTTGAATGATGCGAGGCATCGGGAATAAATCATATGCGAGGCATGACCAGATTCTGGAGTAACGCCTGAGGTAACCCTCCGACTCTTTCTCCGCCCTTGCATTGAAGCGGTCGAGGTCGCACATAATGCAAGACTCGCCAAACGGCACGGGGAGTTGGAAAAGGCTGACTATGCGGTCTGCCATCGCGGCGGCCTCCAAACGATAGCGTATGAACTCCAGAGGATCCGTATCGCTATAAGTGCTTTTCTCTCTTGGGATCACAACGCCAGTGGCGAGTTGTTCCAGATAACAGCGGTCCCCATTACCCCAGCCCTTGCTCCAATCTTCAGGACAAGTCTCGAGGAGAAGTTTGGCCAGAGGGGGGATGCGTTGTTGATAAACGAGATCCTCCATTTCCTTTTGCACCTCAAGGCCAGCATGGCGCTGTCCCGAACCACTAATTCGGGCTAACGCAGCTCGCAGTTCATCGTCAGTGGCCCAGTTGTTGCTGGGGTCTGGGTCCCTATACAATTTCCGTATCCTTTCTTCCTTATCTCCAGTGAACTCGACGGTTTCGAGTGCATCCCAACGTGACTGAAAGTGTGCCAGCGGAGTGCCTGTGCGCTTCGTCCAGGACCAGTTCCACTGATCATCCTGAGCACTAAAACAGAACCCTTGCTCATCTGCCATTCGATGGAGCTTGCCCTTGCAGATATCGAGGATGGACTGGCAGAAGCTGTTGTACGTCTCCACCTGGAGGTCGTTGGGCTGATCGGGCTGAAGCCGTTCGACTTCTTTCCGACTGCCAGCTTCCTCCCCCTTCTCCTCCTCCTCCTCCTCAGCAGCAACGAGAGGGCTTCCCTTGGATGCCAGAGTCTCAATCACCGAACTGGCAAAGATTGATCCGCAAGCGCGCTTACTGGCGCTGGGAGATAGCATCCACGATTCAGACTGTTTCCCTGGCGTGGCACTTAGGGGATGTTGGTTGTTGCCCTTCAGGTCTTTGACAATCCATCCATCAGCATAACATGCCGATGTCAGGATGGTCGCGCGGCACCCATCTGCAATCGCCTCTTTGAGACGATTTGCTTTGAGCCCTCTCTCGTCATCAGACGCATCCAGAAGAAACCTATGGTCAACGAGCCCATGACAGAAGACCATGATAAGCAACGGACGGTCGTGCTGTACAGCTTCCGCCGAAGCGCGTTCAATCTCGTTCAAGAAACGGTCAATCATGCCTTCAGGTTCAACGACCACGGGTGGTGTGATCTCCCCGTTCTGAAGCAGCGAGGAGCTGAGAACGACCTTTTGTTCTTGATACGGGTTCCCATGCAAGTAGTTTCCATACGTCTCAAGCAGACGTTCCGGATCCTGTTTTGCGTTAGCGTCGGATGCAGTCAAGAGGGTGTGGAACAGAACTTACTGCTGCTGTCAGCCAAGTTTGGGAATGCCCCAAGCCTTTGAACAAGTAGTTGAAGGCATAAAAGTCTGACAGAAACCATCCATTACGGCTCTGGACGCCTGTTTTCAGGTCTGGAGACGCGACCGCAATGATTACGGTGTTGTCATCAATGCTGGGAGGCGTCTTGGTGACAAAGGAAGGTTGTGAAGTGACATGACTGAAAGTCTCTTGAGAATCAGGCATAGTGGCGAGACTGCGTTGCAGAGCCTTTTTCTCTTATGTATGTGTGCGTAATTGCAGTGTTATTCTTAGGATTGGGGAGTTCTCAAACGCCTCGTAATATCTTTCTCCGAACTGCACTCCTGCCGCTGCCGAAGGGGTGTCTTAAGCAGTCCCCCAATCCCCAAATATGGGCAGAAATCACCCGTGAGCTCATCAAGGTGTCTTCCCCAGCAAATGGTGTCCTTCCAGGTCCCCTTGCTTGGTGATTGATCAACCCGTCTAGTACTGTTCTCGGATGAGGTCCATAGTCGTTCAGGTCGGACTTAGTTGAACAGGTGAAGAGGGACATGCACAGGTGTAGTCAGGAAACGATGGTGGAAGCAACGAACCGTCTAAGAAAGAGTATGTGAGAAGCGAAGTTATGAATAGAGAGGCTAAAAGGTAGGCTCGTCACAATCCTCATGATTTTTGAGTAAGTGCAGTGAGGTAAATACCATGATCAAGATCATCACGTAGATTTTTCACCTTTTTCCCTGTCTATTCCCTCCGTGTCTTTTCTCTCGACGTCAACTTCGTCCTCACTTTCATTCTCGTCATCGGCATTGCAATCGCCCTTCCCGCTACTATTCCCCTTGAATACTACCTGGATAGCGACACCGATAACGTCAGGTCCTTTGACGCCAGGAACAGGGAAAGAAAGCGCACCGCCCACAGCCTTTAGCCACTATCTCCGCGAACCGGTGCCGGACCGCGCTTTTTGATGCTCGCACTTCCATGTAAGGCTATGACAAAAGCAATAGGCCTAGTCACGGCCGTCCGATTGAGGGCAAGCAAATCGACCACGGCTGCATTCGAACTTTGTTTCTCTACAGAATTCCAATTGAGCTTTAGGTCACAGCCCCGTACGCCGCCACGGACTGGCAACTGGGTTCGCCCGGCCATCGATACATTTTGCTCTACCAAGGGAGCAAGTTCTCATTCTACGACCCAGAGGATTCCAAGAACAAATCGTTCCCCAGAATAGCGAAAGGTGAGCATGTTTGGAGACAGATGAGCTCGAGACTGGAACAGCTCAAAAATGGAGCGCCACGGGTGCCGCATACCGGCGTCATTACCGGAGCGAAAAGTCAGAGATGTTGACAAGCCTCACCATCGTATGATGATTGAGACGGGTTTAGGGGGAAGGAGAGGATGGCTTTTACAATTATGCACCTCTACAGTCCGTATCGAAAAGTCACGGACATTGTTTCTAGTATGCAATGTTAGTTGCCCTTCAAGTGATGTATTCGATTGCAAATTGCCTTCCGCCTCGTGTTCCTCGATCGTCCACTCGCCACATTGCTTTCCCAGAGATCCGTGGACTAACATGGTAGACCTGACCCTTTACCCAACACAGACAAGTGTGTCCTATTGTGCACCATTACTATTTAGCCATTTCATGACAATGTGCGTTGGTATGCATGTAGGTGCCATGAGAGTGAGAGTCGACGATCCGTCTGTTCCAGTCCACGCCGAAACCGAGTTTCCCACCATGAACAAGGGGTTACCCTCACGCTTCACGAGCGGTAAGGAGAATAATCCTTGATCGGCTTGGAGCCTCATGATGATCAGTTTGCCCGGCCATGGCATCATTACCCTGGGATGGCGTTCCGCGTCACTCTCAACTATTGTCAGACAGTGGAACCATGCTGAGAAGATGATAAGCTGGTTGGGAAATCTTGATAGCAACGGTTTCCCCTTCATTGTGGCGTCGTCTGGCACAATGGGAAAGTCGACTAGACTGTTCTCTGTCTGAGTTTCGCTCAACGACTCGAACCAAATATTGATTCGTTCAAACCCGGGTTTCCTGACCGCATATGTGACTTGCGTTCGATGATCTGTCGCGGCCGATGTCGCGGCAATGCTCCAAAGACGTTGCACCATATTTGTGCTCTTTCCAAACCCTGCAAGTGCCCCTATGTACGCAAACGCCACTCTGCCCTTGCTGTTGTATCATTCCTCCATGGATTCGCGAACTTGCTGCCAGGACCCGCACATTTGTGACTGTGGCTCTATGGCGGCGGTTGTACTGTCTGCACAGTTGTGATGGTTGGGTGCCAGGTAACGTAGAGAGGCAAGCGGAGGTGAGGTGTACGTAGGTATGTAGTTGTAGGGGGTGGCGGTTGCATGAGATGGCAGATCCGAGGAATTGGGTCACGTACTCCCTACAAAGGACATTAGTTCCTCGCGGGGTTCAAAGGCACAAGAAAAGTACCGAGACTTAAGAACCAGTTTGGTCTCGACCAGGCGGAGTGGAGTGGCGCTGCGATGATCCCTGAATGGAAGAGCCCACCTCCCACGGTGGCGGGGCCAAATTAAGGTTTACGGCAGGGTACCTACCTGGAAAAGCCTGGCTAACCTACCTAAGTCAAATTCAACGGCGGTGCTTGACCTCGGACGCAAACGAGAATGGTTCACCCCTTGAGGGTTACGATGAATAAGGTAGGCATCACTCAAGTAAGGTAACCACCTGCCTTGGAATAAGTTCAATTGGAGCTCCAGAGCCTCGGGTTCTAGTTGGCCCGAGTGGGTCCCCTAGGCCCACTCCGCACTTCTCTCTCTGGTGACAATATCGATCTTCTGGTTTCCTTCTCCCTCTTACCCTTTGTCTTGTCAACAAACAACTTTTTTTTCGTTTTTTTTTGTGAATACCACGAATCAAAAACGAAACAAAAATGGTCAACTTGACCGAACTTCCGCCGCCTGCCGCCGAGGCACGCGAAGAGAGAGATGAGAAGCGCGTAGACGCCGCGACCCCCGAGGAGGAGAATCCCTCCACTGCCGCCGCCGATGCCGCCGCTGATGTCGCCGCCGATGCGGCCACCGAGGAGCCCGAGATGGCCGAGAAGCCTGAGATGGCTGAGGAGTTACCCGAGGAAGAGAATCTTCCTGCTGCTGGGCAAAACACTCAGTCATCCACGGCCTTGTTTCCTGTGGGAAATCTCGAGCGTATGATAGACGACTGGTTCTCGGCGGGTCACGCTGAGATCCCCCTGAGGGACCTCCTCCCTGCACGGTTTTCAGCCACTCCGAGCAAGGCCTGGGCAGGCTCGGATAGCGAAGGGGAAGAAGAGGAGTTCGCCTCCCTAGAGGAGCTGGTCCTCTTTCACGTCGTCAGGTGCAGGCCCGAGTTAGACGTCAATGGCCTGGAGGCCATGTATACTGACTGTCTCAACGCTGGTTTCAAATACCTAGTGGCAAGTAACGAGCAAGACGTGAACACCGGGGCCTCGAGATGGCTCGCGATGAGAGCGATGTGGCGTCTCCTTGGTAAGTTTGGTGCCTTTGCATTTGAGAGTATCAACTAATGGTTTCGTGTAGGTGCTCCTGGTACCTGGCCCAAGTCGAAAGCCATGCCGGAGATCACCCACAAGCCATATGATCGTCGCTACGCGGTCTTTAAGAAGTCGCAGATTCTAGAGGATGAGGCCTCGAAGCAGAACAAGAATTCAGGACTCGCTACAAGTCACTGGGCAGACACTAAGAAGCCCGCCGCCCCTGCCCCTACGACTGTGGCCGGAACAAGTGCGGCCCCTGGCTCTGCCCCGACACGCCAGCAGCAGCCGTCAGGATATCATTTTCCAAGTCGCAAAGCGAAAGGCAGACCTGCATTCAGCGCCAATCGCTCCTCGACCTACCCCGCCCCTCGGCGCCCCATCACGAGGATGGAGGTCATGTTATATGACAACTTTTCTGCCCGAAGCAAGGCATGGGATGCCTATGGTAGGCTAGGGGGCGCGTCGTACAAGTTTGGTGCCCCACCGTTTGAGATTGAGTTGACTGATAACAAGATGTCGGCCGACTTGCTTTCGTGCCGATACAACAACAAGGTACCGACCGCGCTTCAAGGTGTAAACGAGTACATCAAGAAGATTGACCCGAATGTCAATCTTGAGTTTGGCCACCACAGGCGTGGCAGACTCAACATGCTGGTTCTTGCCATCAACAGTGAGACTCGAAACGAGGTGATGAAGTATGTAGGAGCTGTTTTTGAGATTGCCGTGGCCTACGTGAAGCAAGCGCAAGAGCGCAGAGATATCTCCATTGGAATCTTCTTCAAGAACCGAGAAGCCGAGCTGAAAGCTGCGGCCACGAACCCGCAAGGTATTGCCAGAGGCGCCATGACCATTAGTTCTACCAATGCCGCGGCATCCAGTCAGGACCCTTTGAGAATCAAGATGATTGAACATGTCAAGCATATCCTCAAGAGCACAGATGTCATCAAGAGAGGAGTGGCCATGGACCACTTTGTCAACAACGCCCCCACTATCCTAAGGTTTGAGTCCAAGGATGTTCCCTTTGGCGCTGAGACTTTCGCCTTCAGAGTGAAGGAGGCTTGGGCAGAGTTGCTACAGCCGGGCTCTGCGAGCAGTGCAGCCAGTTGGTACGATGGCTGGCTCATTCAGAGACACGAGAAGAGCATCGAATATGCCGCCAAGGAGCAGGCTGAAAGAGAGCGGGCCAGATCCGCTGCTCTCCAGATTCCCGCCCCCATGCCGCCCATGCAGGCGCCGCCTACTTTCCCCTCGGTGCCACCTATGCCATACGGAGGCCATGCATGGGTTCAACAGCAGCCGGCTTACCCTCAATCGGCCCCATCATGGCAGCAGCCGCAGCAGCCGTACCAGGCACCGCCTGCCCAGTGGCAGTATCCGGCACAAAGTGCCCAGTGGCAGCAGCAGCAGCCCCAGTGGCAGCAGCAGCCACAGCAGCCGTACCAGCAGCCGTACCAGAGCGCAAGTGCTCCCTGGCAGCAGCCGCCAGGTCCCCCTCCGGGTCAGTACTACGGCCCGCCCCCACCGGGTCAGAGATACCCTGGCCAGCCACCCTACCATTGAATAGAGAGAATCTCTAGGTAAGGGCCAAGGAGGATTGGAGTGAGGGAGTGTGGAGAGGGAGTGTGGACTCTGTGGAGGGAGTGTGGTTTTTTTTGGTGTGTCGTTTCTTGGTGTGTCTTTTTTGGTGTGTCGTGGTGGGAGGAGGGGCCCCAGGGGAAGGGGGGGGGGGGCCAAAAAAAGAAGAAGAAAAAGTTCGTTAACCTGCATTATGTCCTGTTCCCATGTGATTTGTAACATGCGAAGCTCCATCTCATTGTGAAACTGTGCTCTTGACTTGCGTGTATTTGAATTGGATGCTGACTGTGCCTGCCACTTTCTGTTTCGGGCAAGGGGTGTTAGTGCTACTGCTCTTGGGAAAGGTACAGGTCTACGCACCTGTCGATTTGGGTGGAAACTGAGTAACGTCACCTCTTGACTGCCAAATACACATCTACCACATGGTACTTCCTACTCCCTCATTAGAATGTCCTCATATGAGCGGCGTCAGAGCGAAGCTCTTGGAAGCATTGACGCGAGGGGATTCCTTCCACGAAGTGTCACTACTGTTCCCCGATGTAGTCAAAGACCTCGAAGACGCAAAGACGCCCAGAACCTCGAACGCCACGATCCTGCAGCTTCAACGAGACTGTGATGAAGATTGGATCACGTTGTAGCTGCTCCACGCTATTCCGCGAGACCTCTTGACATCGATCGTGCAAGGGACGGTGGCATTTGATTGTGAGAATCAGCAACACTGGTATGATGAATCCACGACAGACCCGGGAGTCTACGTGATAGCCATGAGCATCAAAGATCGTGGCGGAAAGTTTCTAAGTTGGAATGAGTACCAAGCGGTGATTGCATCTCTCCGGACCTATCTAAGGGCCTTTGAGGCACTTCAGCTTGGCGGCAGCCAGTCACAAGGAGACGTTTCACTCGCTCGCGTAATAGACGGAATGTTTGGTGGCCGTGCCATGATAAGGAACTCACAAGAGTACGATCAGACCCGGTTCGTCCAGTACCAAGCATAGGCAGACAGTTTACGGGACTTCATCAACCGCCTCGTTCAGAAGCAGGGGGTAATACCCGGGACCGATAAGAGCAGAGGTGCACCAGTATCAGAGCTCGCTCTATATTAGATGCGTATTCGAGCTAATAGTACGGCCAAGTATTGAGAAACATGATCCCCTCAAGGTCGATCTTTTGCGCCTGTAGCGCCGAAGAAAAAAGAATTACTATATTAACTTCCACCGCCTCATCTTAGGTACCTTAGGTATTGAGCAATGGCAGCATGATCTGGTAAGACGAGGGAAACACGGGGTATCACATAAAACCCGAGGTGGGTTGAATACGGCGCCAGTTCAATATACCTGTTATCCTTTTCTTAAGGTATGTACCTGTCCTCCTCCTGGATTTGCGTCTTCGTTTTTTGGTGTAAAGAAGACGCCCGAGGTTATGTGCTAGCCAGTCTCACAAACACATAGAAACCTCTCCTTGGATATTAACGTTGATATAGAAAACTACTCGCTACTCCTACACAGGAATACCAAGAAAAAGGGGTGGGGGTATAAGTCAGAAAAAGTATCTAAAAAAGAGTCCCAAACGCCAAACAACGCATGTACCGAACATGCCTGGGCGATGCGGTGTCTGTCTGTCTGATTTGGAAATCTCTCTTCTCACCCACCCAAAAAACAAAAGAAACGCCGTACAGACGATAGCCTCCCAAACTCCTAAACCTGAGCCGACCTCGCGCGATCAACGCTGGGCTGCCGATGCTCGTCCTCATCTGGCTGCGTCTTGAGCTGCTCCTCGCCAGCCGTGCCATTAATCTGGGCCGCATCCTTCGATGTGGTCCCAGAAGCCCCCGCTCTATCTTTTCTGTCTTCCGCGGCAGCCTTGTGTTTGGCATCCGCGCGGTCTGCCGCCTCGGCCCGTGCTTCCCCTTCCTCGTTCTCCGCGATGTCGTCTTTCCTCTTGGACGAATTCTTGTCCGAGCCCTCCGAATTCTCCTGATCCTCAGCAGACTTGCGCGCCCGCGCGGTTTCGGTCGACCGCCTCGTATCAACACTATGTCTAGTCGCGGGACTCTTCAATTTCTCGTCCGCCTTGCGAAGCTCCTTCTCCGTGCCGACGACGGTGCTCATATCCTCGCCCTTCTTGATCGCCTGTAGGGTGCGGTCGGCAATGTCGACGCTCTCAAAGGCTGCGTGATTGACTCGTTGCTTCTTGTGCGAGAAAACTCCCTTGATGCCTTGCTTCTTCTCGGCCTCGAGGGTCTCTAGGAGTTCGCGGATAGTGTACCAACCAGTAATAACGTCCTTGTCGGTTTGCTTTTTGGAGTCGCCAGGGAGGTTCCGTCTTTCGCGTTGGCCCTGTACAAGACGGGCCCGACGGACAACTCGATCGGGCTGCTTCTTCCGTTCGACCTGCTTGGCGATGCCCTTTAGAGTGTATCCAAAGGGACTGATGATGGCACTGAGGTCCTTGAGCACGAATCCCGTGAGACCCATGCCTGTTCCCTTGACGAAGCCCTTGACGCCCTCCTTCTTGGCACCCCGGACGGGTAGTCGAACGAGGCCGGTCGTGCCGTCGTAGATGCCGTACGCGAATTCCTTGCCGGCCGCCTTCAACCCAGAGCTGATGCCGGTTACACGCGGCGGTCGTCGAACAGTATCGTCGCCATACAGCCGAGGAGCGTTGTGGAATCCTTGAGCGATGGCCATGGATAGGTCTACCGGTGCCCTGGCCAGGGCTTGTGCCGATTTGCCAACGCCCTCACCGACCTCATTGGCGTAGTCTCCAACGGCGTCGTCGACGGTAGTTCCAGTATCGATCGATGACATGGTATCGCGCCGTTCTTGCGCACCAGGTCTGGCAGAAGAAGCGTTTCCAATGGCTTGGGATTGCTCTCCCTTCTTGTTGTCTTGCTTCCCATCTTTCTCTTCATCTCCCTCCTTGGCTTTGCCCTCGTCTTCTTTCTTATGCGATTTGCTGTCATCTCCGCCCTTTACTTTCGCCTTATCCCCCTCCTTCTTGGTATTGTCTTCGTCGCCCTCCTGCGGTTGTAGCGCGCCATTGCTGTTGGCCGCGGCCTTGCGTTCCTTGGCACTCGTGCGCTTGTCTCGGAGGGCCCTCAACTTCTTCTTCTTGTCCTTCTTCTCCTTGCGCTTGTGTGACGTCTTGGCAATTCTGTAAGGAACACTGCCGATACCACCAAAGACGTTGCCCATCGTCCCGGCGAGAGAGCCTGCGATACCAGTCACCGGCTCTCCAGGGCCCTCGAAATCGTTCCATTCCGTGTGCCGCAGCAATCTGAGCTTCTTCCACGAAAGTTGTCCTTCCTCGACAATGATGTCGGCGGCGAGGGCACTCAGTTTGACATTGGTATTCTTTAGCGTCCAGACTGCCGGGCGATCGCGCAGAATAGAGCAGCGCATCGAGTTCATGCCTCCCAGAGTCAGGTGGTGGTGGAATGACCGCACTGCATTCTTGGCGCCATCGCCTTCCAATTCAATGTCTTTGGCGACCTTGGCGGCCGCTTCTTTTGCCTCGTCTGTGAGGCAGTACTTGATGCCCTCGGCGAGCTTCTCTGCGTCGAGTTGCTTGTAGGGCACGGCCTCGGGTCCGGCTTTACTCGTTGCGAGGATACTTCCCCAGAAATGCTGGTCGCCGAAGAACGGCACAATCATGGTCGGCAGACCGCACTTGAGAGCAATTGCGGTGGTTCCGGCTCCGCCGTGGATGACGCATGCCTTGACTCGGGGGAAAAGCCAGTCGTGGGGCGTGTTCTCCAGCATGAAGATATTATCGGGAACATCCATTTCGTCACCTCCCAAGCCACCCCAACCCTTCGAGACGAGTGCGCGGACTCCGGCAAGTTCAACAGCCTCAAAGATCATCTGAGTAAAACGATCCGCATCATCGACGACAATCGAGCCGAAACCAATGTAGATAGGCGGCTCCCCAGCATCCAGGAACTTCTCCAAGTCGCTGGGTGGATCAAACGTCGAAGCCAGATCGAGGAAGACGAATCCAGAGACGTCGATTTCTTCGCCCCAATCTTGAGGCTTAGGGACGAGACCAGGACTCCAGAGGTAGGTAAAGGGCACGTGCAGACGATAGGTCGCACCAGGAGCCCAGAGCGTTGAGACGGCGTCCAGTCCAAGGGTCTTGACGCGGAAGTCATTGACCAAATCGCCCAGACCCTGCCAAACCATCATCTCGACCAGGGGGTATGAGATGAAGTTGGTGTACCCGGGGTCCACGTTTGATTTCTTGATGCTGGCCAGGGGGTGAGGGAAAGCCTGCGTCGGAGTGTAGGGAAACGTAAACATGAGATGCAAGGGGATCCCGAGGGCTTCTGCACAGTGAATGTGGGCGAAGCTTGGAGGGTTGGCAATAATGGCGTCGGCGATGAAGGGATCCTTCTCACCCATCATCTTAAGGTTGTGGACATCCTTCTCATCATCGGTGGCATTGATGCAAGCTCTCCAGAAGCCGTCGAACATTTCCGCCATGGCCGATCGTCGTCGTCCAATGTCTCCAGCCTTGACAGCATCCAGAGTCGGAATCATGCCCGGATTCTTGACCATGAAGGCCATCAGCTCGGAGGGGTCGCCGCCGACCGAGAAGAACTCCAGACCAGAGTCCTTTTCGACGAACTCGCGAAAGGCGGGGTGCGTCGCAATACGGACGCGATGCCCATAGTCTTCCTTCAAAATCTTGCCTATCTTGAGGAACGGCTGCGCGTCACCACGGGAGCCAATGACCATGATGACAATATTCAGGCGCGGCTTCGGTTCGCGGTCGGCAGTGGCCGTGGTAGCGGAGGAGAGGCGTGACACGGGCGGTCGCTGCGCATCCTCGCCCTGCTCCTCGCCTTCGGGCACCGGCACCACCTTCTTGACGGCCTGCCCCAACGCCTTGGCCAAGTAGCCGGTATTGGCCGTCTCCTTGACCGAGATGCGCAGACGGCCGTCCTTCTTCACCTTGCCCTTGGTGTTGTAGTTGTCGTTGCCGACGTGGAAGCGGCGGTAGCGCTCTGCAATCTCTCTTTGCCGCCTCGCATTGGCTTTATCTTGTGCCCTCTTCCTCTCGGCCGGAGTCTTGGTGTCTTGGGCATTCTCGTCATCGGAGGAGTCGCTGGAGCTTGAGCTCGAACTCGAATCTCCCCTGTCAGCCTCCCAGAGTGCCCTATCGAGGTATGAGGTTCCGGATCGCTTGGGAATATTCCGCCGCGCCGCGCCGCTCTGGCCAGCTTTTCGTTCAGGCGCCTCGGTCCTCCACTTCTTGTCTATGGGAGGGCGCTCCTGAGGGTTCGACGTGCCGGGAACCTCGAGATGGCCAGGGCCATTTGGGGCCGACTCGGTCTTTGTAGCCCGTTCATGCTTTGGTGGTATTTTGGGAACTGTAGGCGCGGTTGTGGACTGGGGTGATCGAGCATTCGGCGAGTCGATCTCGGGTGGTACAAAGGACGGGTAGACAATGTTCCTGTTCTCGTCTCGCACGACACCAATGTTTCTTCCATCGCGGTTGATTTCGTCAATGTGAAGCTGCTCGGGAGGAGGGGTCGCCGTCGCCTCGGACTCGGTCGCCGTGCCCAAGGCCAGTTGTGCCGCGGCTGTTGGGTGCGCCATGATGGCGTCGGGTTGGCGTGTGGTGGTGTCAGGTCTGCTCTCGAATTGAGTTTCGTCTATGACGGTGGTGCAGAGGGGGAATGAGTTGGGATCGTGTGTGAGAAATTTGTTGTTTAGATCAGGGCTGGCATCCCAATGTGGACATTAAGGTAGGTAGGTAGGTAAACGTTTTGAAAATAGCGTGGCTAAAGAGGTCTTAGGGGCGAAGATAGTCTGGGTGCGCAAGTCGCGTCACTCGTTCTTGGCTGGGTTGTCACGCAGAGGTTGACGTCCGGAGCGATGAAGGAGACTAAGGACGACCTCGAACTCCGCAAGCTAAAGAGGCGAAAGGGACGGACGGGAGGCATAAAGAATGCCGATACCACCCTCTACATGGGCCGATCTGTTTGGTTCCGGGAATAATAAGGTACAGCAGAGAGACCTGTCCGGCGAATGGAAAGTTTCACGCGAAAAGCAAGCTTGCGAGAGCAAGGCGGAGGAGGAGCACAGGAAGGAGGGCGCCTGGACGTGGCCGCGGCTTGCGCACTGGAACCTCAAGCCGAACTGGTTCTTGCTTTGCTGTTTCCAAAGCCATCCATCTGCAGCAAATGGCAGTACCGCAGCGCAGCAGTGCAGCAGGAGCAGTGCAGAGCTGGAATTTCCTTCCAACCACCCCCTGGTCGAAAATGACATCACTTCCCGAAGGTGACGCTAAGCCGGTTGTCTGCAAGGGTGCGCCCCTGCCGATGAGGTAGCTTCCTGGTCTGTGCGACGGGACGACATTGGCTGGGCCGGGCTGGCCCGTGCCAAACCGCCCAAGGGCAATCTGCGAATGGTCACGTCCGGAGACTCTCCCCCGGTGGCTCATTCGAAATAAACCGCCACAATCCCCAGTCCTCAGTGCCTCCCTCCAGGTTTTTATTCATTTCTGGGCAACCAACGTAACCTCGTTGACAACACATTGCTTTCATTTCAATCGAATCACGTTGACGATCTACGGTGAGACAAGTAAGGTACAGCATGACGGAAGGTACGCAAACCGGCCGCCCTCAACCGAGATGAGATGGTGAGACTGCGTTAGGATTTGCCAGCTGTTTCCTACATGAAGCCAAATTGGGCTCGAGCCCCTTGGACCGCTGCGTCCTCCAAATATGCACATCTGGACGTCCGGATCTGGCTGAACACGAGCTAAGGCACTGGCGCCACACTTGTGCTTCGGATGTAGTACCTCGAGCTCTCCTGCTCCAATAGATCGAGGATCTACACCAAGATCGATGGTGCACAGCCACGAATCACTCGCCACAGTCCGCGTCTACCTGACGACCGTGACAACGTCCGCAACGTCTTCATCCCCAGAACGTCCAAGACAGCCGTGGATCGTCAGAGCAGGCGTTTAGAACCATGCGGCTTTCGGGTCGAAAATGACGGGCTTCTAGACATTTCTCCTTCCGCACTGACGCCGCCTACGCCGTCTTCCGCTCAAGAATAGCGTGAGTCCGCAGCGGATAAGACGACACGTGTGGTCGCCCGTAGTGAAATGCATTCCATGCGTTATGGTGTGAGTTCGGTGACGGGTGGTCTCTCGCACTTCACCCCGGCCCGCTCCTAGACTCTGATCGTCCCTCTGATAAATTCAGACGAAGAGACGCCACGAAACATCACGCCCAGCTAGCAGCATATTTTGGAGAAAATTTGTTTTTAAATTCATACAGCTGCTCGTTGCTCAGCAGCCCAGGTAATTCGTAACTCATAAGAGACTCCGCCATGAACCTACTCCAGAAAATGCAAAGCCCATACCACAGAGCATCTCGGCTTACCCGCGCCGGGGCTACCCATGATATCCAGCGTCCAATGTACAACAGCAGCACCTTTTACTGCAGAGGCAAGCTCTTCAACCGCATCGTCAGAATGTCGAGTTGTGTCTTGACCTCGTCGCCCTGGCCCTGATCATCTACTTCCTTCTTCTCGAGGGCCGTCTGCAAAGTCGTGACAGCGTGCAGCAGAGGCTCAACGTAGCGCTGCTCCACGGCGCCGGGCATGCTAGCCGGCACCAAGTGCTGGAAGCTGGTGCCGGCAAAGAGGAAGTACGCAAAGTTGGCCACCTGCAAGTGGAAGGGGAAGTTCTGCACCCAGTATTCCCAAATCTCGGGAACGGATTGCTCCTTGAGGAATGCCATGTTGGGGAACAAGACGTACTGCAGCGTCTCAACTGCATCTGTTGTCGAGAATCGGTTCGTGAGCTTGCGTTTTTGAGCCACAATCAACTCTTCTCGCAGCCACGTCACCGCAGAGGCCTGCAGGGCGGAAAAGATGCAGTTCTCGAGGAGATCCTCCAAAATCTTGAGCCGGTCGCTATCATCGGGGTCGTCATGCAGGACGAGGCCTGCGAGGGTTGTGGAGACGTTCCGAACCGATAGTGACGGGTGGAACACAGACACAAGTGTGAGGAGATGGTGGTATGGCATGAAGTCGCCGTCTGAAGGCGAGATGCGCTTGTAGTTCTCCAGCCAGAGTCCCATTACGACGAGAGCCTCGGTGGTGCCAGGGTTTCCCACGATGCGTGACTGCGGGTCTTCGCCAAAGAAGTTTTCGAGGAGCTTGACATGATCGGGGAACATGGTCATCTGGACCTGTTCATAGTCCGCATCAAACACCTCTGCTGAGAAGAGCCAGTATGCAACCAGGCACCAGACACCTCCGGTAGAGAGCTTGATGTTGTCGGGGCTGAGGTCATCGGTCTCGACCGCCAGCGGGCTGTTGGGGATGGAGCCCTCAAAGATGTCCTTGACGGACAGAGCACGCACTCTGTTTAAGCCGAGATCTCCTGCAAGTGCCTGAGTTAATTGTTAGCAAGTTCGTCCGTCCGAGCAACATCAGACGAATGTACATACGACTAATTGGCCAACCAGAGCGTCCCTTGCCAAAAGATCATCGTCCTCCTTAAAGGCACGCAACACGCTCTTGCGCATTACGACACGCTCTGGGTTGTAGAATTCCAGCAGGCGAGAGGCCCATTCCATGCCAGTACAGTTGACGTAGGCCTCGATGATGCAGGTAATGAAGGACTGGAGCAGTCTCTTGGTGGTGTCAGGGTCTGTCGGCGCCAACTGCTGCTTGTGTGCGGCCTCGGGGTCCGGTGCGTGTTTTGTGGGATCGCTCTTCGTAAAGGGAGTGTCGAGCTTGTTGCTGGACTGACGGGTAGGGAGCGGCGGGCGCTTGTCGCCAGAAAGGGAGCGGACGAGGGCAATGACTGCAGCCGTCATTTCGGGATTGCGGGGATGGTAGGTGCGGTAGACGCTCTGAAGGGTCGTGTGAACAAAGCGAGAGGGGCGCGCGACATTCAATCGCTTGTGCAGGATGCTCAACATGCCGACCAGGTGAACGAATGTCGCCGTCGTCGCGGGATCGTCTTCCTCGTCGGTTGCCTCTTCGACAGTCTTTTCCAAAACTTCGAGCACCTTGAGAATGACCTCGCGCGGGTTGCCCAGCTGAGCAATGGTCTCGAGACACTGCTGACTGCCCTGGACGGGCACAAGCATCTCGACCAAGTCCCATCCGATATCCTGGGTGAGCTGAGTGTCTTGGAGGATTTCGTTCAGGTCAGGCAGGATCTCGGGGGAGAGGACCTCGCCGATGATGGTCAGGTAGGTGAAGGTGTCTGTGGCGGGCGGCTTAGACTCGCGCAGAGCCTGGAGGCCGCTGGGCTTGTCGGCCATGGCCAGAGGAGGATTCGTCGCTTCAATCATGGTGTTCAACTACTCGAGGGACCTCTGTGGCATTGGAGGGGTTGGTCGATGGTCGTTGAAGAAAAGCCTGGGCTGATGAGCACTCGGCAGACGGCAGAAGGGAGGGGGGGGGGGGCAGATGGGGTGAAGAAAAGAAGAAAAGAAGAACAGAGACCGCTGCGTCTGTTCTTGTTTCGTCATCGGAGCTTTCAGCACCTGAGAGATGGAAGGGAAGGCGTGAGAGAAAGGACCACACTTCAGACCTAAGCAGGCACGGCAGGGTTCCAACTCCAATTTCTCTCCACCAGGCAATATAATTAGCACCTCACCAGCAGCTCACCACTCCACGAAACGGGGGGACTGAGGCGGGCGATTGCAGTCAACGACAGGACCAGAAATGCCAGCAGTGGGCGCAGCAGCAACCCCGCACTAGCCCTGATTCAGAGAGGATCCCACTGGAACACTTTACAGGTCAGGTTCACCCCACTGGAATCCGCATTCTGAAGAGGTCCCGCCAGGTCTGAAGCCTCAGGATGGCCCCGCCTCCAGGACCGGTGGAGGTCGTTGGTGCAGACTTGTCAGTGGCCCAGAGTCACAGTGAAACCCGGTGCCATCGGGTAATACAGCGCGCCAGACCAGGCTGGTTCCAGCCCGCAATACTGGCTGGGGCCAGGCCTTGGCGGTGAAGTGGCCTGCGACGAGACAGGCTGAGATCTGCCCGAGAAATTCATTCCCAGGAATACCTAATACGGTATGGAAGAACAGGTTGCAGATGGAAGATCGGCTCGTGTTTGATTTATGCTTGACAATGGAAGCGTCCGAACAGACGACGAAACTGGACAGTCCCCATCCCTTTAATCTGCGGGAACGGGAATGGACCCTGAAGAAACCTGAATCCTGAGGGACCACAGTCAACCACCACACTCTCAAAGTGTCCCCACGGACGTCTTATCGTTCCCGCGCTATCCCTCCTGTTAATTGTTATCGATAGAGAAAGTGGATCACGTCGAGATAGTGGGATGCACTTCGATAAGACACCTTGACTGGGGAAGCGATTACAGATCCCAAGGTACCTGAGCCGTAGATGCGTAGGTACCTTGATGGAAGTACACCGTACCCCTCCATCACCGCCTCTCTCTCATATGGCGGTCTCCCTTGCCTTTGAATCTCGTTTTGAGAGCATCGTACGAACGCAACGTCTTGCAGATTTGAAGACGACAGGTTCAAAGAGAACGGCAGAACAATTGCTTCGTGTACAGATTCATCTCCAAGGCCATCCGGCGCCATCTGCCATCCGCGACCTCCAACAAGCAACTGCCCGTGACACCCCGCACCCGCCATTCGTCCCAGGTTTCGTGACTACCTACCTTCCTTACTACCCGATTATTACAAAGTACCACCACCCAGTCACATCACCACTAACGAACGAGCGGACGGGTACTTCAAGGTTTCGTCTACCTGAGTAACACATCCTGTACTTCCTGCCAGGCCAAACGCCCACGGCTCGACATGTACCCTTCTGTCCCCTCCTTCCCGTTCTGATCAGGTGCGCTCCTCCCCGCCCCTACCCAACCCAAGCCAACGCCCTACCTGACCTTGCTCTGACCGACAGTTACCGACTGCAGCCTCAGCGGACTGGGCGGGCTACAGCCGAACTCAAGTCAACGTCGTGCCGTCTCATCCCGTAACCTCACTCGTTCTTTTTGCCGGGCAAAACAGTCTTTCTTTCCATTCCTCTCTCTCTCACCTTCCATCATGTCCTCTTCCGGAGTATCGGTATTGGAGGTGCCCGCGAGCAGAATGGACAGATTCTGTCTCTTACCGCCGGAACTCCGTGCAGCCGTTGTTGAGTGTGTCGTCGCTGACTGCCGCTACGGCGATGAGTCCGATTCCCTCGCCGACTACGCCTTGGTCTGCAAGGAGTGGCAGGCCATCGTCGAGCGTTTCAACTTTTCCGTCCTCAAAGTCACCCTGGCCAATCTGGACGACTTTGAGTCTTCCATGGTCGGCTCTCGCCGCAGACTCGTCCAGCGGATCAACCTACACGTCGACCTGCCCGCCTACGACAATGATCCCTGTGAAAAGAAGGAGACCTGGGAGGACAAGGCCGAGAATAACTCGTGCTTTACTCTTGCATTTTACCGTCTATTTGGCATCATGAATTCCTGGAAACCAGAGGATTCGACCAGTGACGGCATCGATTTCTCACTAAGCATCTCTTCACCCAGCGACCTCCGCAACGCCAATTTTGAGCTATGGCAACGACGCCGGTGGAATATCAAAGATATCGGCGAAAAGCGTTTCGCGGACTCTTGGATCGATTTCGTCGGCCAGGATGAGGAGTTTGACCGGGTCAACCGCTTGCCTGTGGTTAAAGTGATAAGATCATTCACCGTGAGCCCTCAGAACCACCGGGCACTGATGCCGGCCGCTCATGCCGATATCATCGCCCGGCTGCCCGGGTTGCGAACAGCCAATTTCGACATCACCAAGGACCGCAAGAAGGAAACCCGCAAAATCCACTTCAACCGTGCGTTCCATTATGATGTTGCTACCCTCAAGGTCCCCTCACTAACACTGGCCAGAATTCGCCGGTTCCATGACAAAGTGGCCCACCTCACTGGAATCCCTCACCATCATGTCCAATACAATATCATCGTGGCGCCAGATTCCACATGAGACGCTCGCTGAAGGCGACAGCGGTGCCAAGCTCTGTGATAAGCTCCGGCGTGCCGCCCAGCATCTTAAGGAGCTCAACGTCACCAACGTCGTGCGTATTAGGGAATTCTTACGACCTCACTGGCCCATGGGTACGGAAGATACCGAGCCGTTCCTGGCAAACCGCTCATATTACCCAGAGTTCTGGCTGCTCAAGACTCTCTACATCTCTTATGGATCCATCTGGTACAACACAGAGTGGCACAAGCAGAGCGACGATATCAATGAATCCTCAGAGCTAGTCGATTTCCGCCAGAACGTATCCCTCGCCGCTGCCCGGATGGCGTACACGATGCCCCAGTTGAAGCACATGACCATCAAGCAGCGGCCTCTAATGTGGGCAGGCAAGCATGAGCTCGAGTACAAGATCGAGGGCGGCGATAAAGCCTACCTGACCTGGACGAGCACCTTTGATTTCAAGCCGTGGGAGCGAACCGTCGAGGCGTGGGTCGAGGTGGCGGCTCGGCATGAGAGGAAGCTTGAAGTTCGCATCATAACTAGGGCTTGGCATACTGACGGTAAAGCTCCTCTTCTGCCATCACTCACTTTTTGAGCACTTTTTCTTTCTCGAAATGGAGGGACTTTAGTGCGCGCATTCCTTTCTTTTTGTTTTGGTACTTTTGGAAGGACGGAGTTTTTATGGCGTTCTCGAATTGTTTTTTTGGCATTTTTCCTTGGTACTCCTCTCATTACACTTGGTTCATGATACCCAGGGTCCGGAACCGCTCTGCACGGCGTCAAGATTACATCTCAGGGAAGGGGCAAGCGGGTAGTATTAGTAGACACAAACCAGGACGAGGGCGAGACCTCAGCGGGGTAAAGGGAAGGCGATACCAGAGCGACACGATTCTTGGTAGATACGTTGAATGAGCGATACATGATTCAAACACTTGGTCTATTGATTTTTTCTCCTTTTTGACTTCGTTTTCGTGATGGGTTTCCCCGACTTTGTGTCATGATTCAGGATGAGATGGTTCTGCTACACGTGCTGTGACCAGCAGTAGCCCAGTGCTGACACCGCCTCGATGGCTGGTTCAGACTTGCATGATATACACAATACGGGTGGAATTTAATATGATGGTTCTTAGTCATGGTGGTTATGATTGGCTGAGTATAATCCGAGTCTCGGAAGCAGATGTGAGGTTTGCCATGAGTTTTCTCATGAGGGATGAATCCTGGAGCTCAGAAGCAGGTCTCGGATTTACAATGAGATCTCTGATGAGATGAATGAGCCGAGATTGATTCATACGCTGACAGAAGGTCTATACTCACTTGATAGCGATTCTCATTCACAATCTCATAGGCCATGTGAAGTAATTTGAGATCATTTGATTTTTTTTCATCTTGTTGATGCTGTAAAGAGTAAATCTCCCCATATTCCCCAACGCCGTGTTCTCCCAGACGCCATTCCCAAAAACCCCATGAACCAGATATAATCATCTCATGCGTACGTACAAATCTAGACTGATGAACCCCGCCCACATCTCACTCGTCATCATCATCCAAGTCCAAATCAACCTTGGGCCCGGGTCCCCAGCTGTATCTCTTGCGTGTCCTCAACATCCAACTCCAATGGCTCCACGGGTCCTCCGCAAGCTTCGTCATCTCAATCACATCTCCATGGCCCTCCCACAGCGTGGTAAGCCCATACTCGACCGCCATCCGCGCATACTTGGTCGCCAACCACGGCTCCCCGATGCCGTTGTACTCAATCGCGGCGAGAGTATACGCCTCGGTCAACAGGCTCCAGTTGTGCTCCTGCTCGTACAAGGAAATCAACAGCTCCGCCATCTGCGGGGTCGCCCGCGAGGCCGGGGTGTAGTCGTTGAACTCTTCCCGCAGGGAGGCAATCTGCTCGATGCGGCGGTCCGACTCGTCCGTCTTGAGGCGGTGCTGCATGCAGTGGTGGCAGGAGCAGTGGAAGCCCCAGGTGGAGTGCAGGCGCTCGCGGCGGGCGGCGCGGGTCTGCATGGGGTCGATGTAGGAGAGTGTGAGCTCCTCGCCGGGGATGATGTCGCGGATGGCGACGGTGCGCTGGGTGAGGGTGCGCGGGTCGAACCAGTAGTCTACGTTGGGGCGGCAGTCGTGGTTCATGCGGGATGCTGAGGTGCCGTGTTAGCCGTGTTGCTCATGCGGGTACATACAAGGAGCACGAAAAGGGGTAAATGGGGGAAGGGGAGGAGCTTACTGTTCACAAAGACGGCGTAAAAGTCATCATCGCGCTTGGCATCATCCATCTCAACATCAAACGAGTTGGTCACGAGAATCTTGTCCACCATGGACAGGTGGTCGCCGTGGTAGCCGTGGCTCGACATGTTGAGCCACTGGCTGCGGTGCTTGAACTGCAAGAAATCCACAGCGTGCGCCTGCATCTTCTTCATCTCGTCGGGCGGGATGTGGCTAAACGCCGCATAATCAATGAGCAGACTCGCCGTCTCTCGCAGGATGATCTCACCCCGCTTGATGGGCAGCGAGGCGACCAGGCCGTAGTCCTTGCCGGGCACCTTGGCGACCTCGAACTTGGGCAGCGGCTGGTTCGCGCCCTCGAGCTCCTCGGGCTTGGTGAAGCCCCAGCTGCGGGTGACGTGGGCGGCGCGGTCGGCGTCGGTGATGATGGAGATGCCCTTGCCGCCGTAGTTGGCCGCGTGGTAGATGCAGAATTCGGGGGCCTCTGTGCCGTTTTTGAAGCAGGGCGAGGTGTGCGTCCACGCGGAACCCGAGGGCGTGGAGGAGGTTCCCGCTGAGGAGAAGGGGAACTGGTCGGCGCGGCCGCCGAGGAGGTCTTCCTTGTTGCGGCAGATGGGACCGTTGTTGGAGGAGGCGGCGAGGAGCTGGGAGGAGATGCAGATCTCGCCGGAGCTCGAGGAGATGACCTTGGATTCGCGGAAGGCGAGGGCGGAGCCGGCGCCGAGAAGTGCAAGTGAGGGCTTCATGGTGACGGAGGAGATGTGTGTATTAGAAGAGAATGATAATTTCGGGTCGTGATCTACACAACGCGCGAATAGAAGTGAAATGAAAGGATGAACAGTAGAAAAGGGAGAATAGGAGAAGGAATGGGAAAGAGAAGAGGAAGAGTTGACCACACGCTCACTTTCGTCCCATTGATCTATGATAATCGGACTCCCGGCACAGCTCGAATGATTGAAAGTGGGACGAATAGATATTAAGTATCCGCACCGCTCAACACACAAGCACAGCAAGCACAGCAAGGCACGGTACGCAATAAGCAGCAAAAAAAAGAAAACTTGAGCAAGCTTCAGAAGCAAACCCTGGGCGCTTCGACTCTTCTTTGGAATGCATGCATGCGCGGGACGGGGTTCGAGCTCTCGGCGCTGGCTGGACCAGCGTTTGGGATGCTCGCGGGGGAGCAACAGGATTGGAGCATGGGTGGAGGAGGGGGATAACTCACACCTCACAGCCTAGAGACCCATAGACCACCGCAGTATAGAACAGATGGTGATGGGGGTTTGGTGATGCGCGGGAAAGACGTGACAAGGTCCGCGAGCTTCTTGGAGCCTGGATCCCTGTCCTGAGGACTGGATGTTTGTGTGAATGGTCGATTGCGTTGGAACTCTGAGTTGCCATTGAAGCTGTCCACGGGTTCCGTCTGACACTTTTTTTCCCTTGTCTTTTTACCTGGTCCATCATCCATGGGATCATTGGAGTATGGACGGTGGACCAAGGCCCATGGCGAACCCCAGGATGGAGAGAAACAAGACTTTTGACGAATGTAACCCTCGGTAACTTTAGTAAGGTTGTCTTGTAACGAGGAAGGGTTAAGCGACTCATGGTGCGAAGGAGGACAACCCCCTGTAGCCCCTTCCCGCGACCCAATTGGTCATTGGCGTTGTTTGATGATTGATGCTGCTGGTAAGGTATGTAGGATCATAAGGAAAGGGGGGGGGGGGAGAGGATGGTGCTGGGTTGCAGCGCTGCGATTGTTTCTTGTGTCAAGATCCTCGTTGATGGGCGTTCAAGGGGGTTGTGCGCTCGTGTCAGATGTGTTGCAGGACGCTGGGGTTGAGTTCTCGAGTGCACCCCAGCACCTCCCAGCACTCCCCGTAAAGCGATGGTGGGCGGGGAAAAAAAAAAAAAAAGGGGTGGCGTTGCAGACAAAACGGAATGGGGCCCGGGTTTGGAGGTCAGACAAAACAACTGACACACGCCGATCAGCGGGAGAGCCTTGGCCTGCCACTATTTCGCTGGTTCCACGGCATCGTTGACAATCTTGGAAGTATTAGCCTGCTCCAATACTCCGTAGGTAGGTATGAACCCCTTGGCTAGTTTGTCGTAGGGTCCCCAGCAAACTACCTTCTTGTGCATGGCGGTTATGGAGTGTTTCCAAACCGATTCTGTGGGAGAATGTCAGGCACAAGAAGGGATAGCAGCAAGTGGGTTAAAGTTAAAATTTAGGTACGGTTGCAGGAGGTGGTGGTGGTGGTGGCCGCGGCCACCTTTTAGCCATGGCCTTTTTGGTGAGTGTCGTCAGGATTGACTTGCCTTTCTCTGCCTCAGTCGGGCTAACTGAGCCCGCGGACGCTGGAGTGGGACGGGCTTCACATTCTCGCGTCTGTGAATGCTGCCTTGGCTGCCCTGCTGGGGACATGTGCAGATGGAACATTTTGATGACCAAGATTGCCTGCCCGTAAACATACTGTAGTGCAGTTGCCCAGAATAGATGCTACCGCACATGTGTCGAGGAAACTTGCGACGACGCGGGAGCCACCTGCGCCCATTGTGGCGGCTAAAACATAACACACAGCACAGGTCCCGAACCGCGCAAGAAAGCGTGGGCAGACTTGCAGGTGCCGTCTCATCCAGCGATTCTCACAGTACAAGGTACGAATAGCCGGCGACAAAGAATGCAAATCACATCTCCGCTGCACGCCAGCGACCGGACGGAGGTGGGAGGAGGGGGGCGTCGACGACCTTATATAGTGGATCAAAGTGAAGAATCCAGACCTCCCGAGTCCCAGCCGTCGGGTCTCCGTGAGACCGATGTTTTGGATTTACATGTTCCGTGTCGCGTTTGGGAAAAAGGGTCGAGCCGAAACGAGAGCCGGAACCCAACGGAAAAAGTCTCCGGCTGCGGGGGCAGCCATGACCCACTCCGAAACTGAGCCCGGTGATTAGTGGGGTTCATATCCGGAAGACCGGAGTGTGCGGGAACGCTTCATCCGGCATTTCAGTACTCCGTATCAATCACATTCATATCCGATTTCTACAGCGTTCCAAGAAATCAACCCTTAACATCCTTCTCCAAGCGTCCGCCCCGTCTCCTAAATTGATCCGCAACACTCTCCATCTCCACAGCAGGAAACCTCGGATCCTTCCGCCACGGCAAGAAATCACTGCTCGCCACCATCCACCGCAACACAACCCCTTCCATCCGCCTCCTCACCTCCTGATACTCGCCCACCTCGGCCAAATTATGCAACTCCCCCGGGTCCCCGGCCCGATCATACAGCTCCGCCGGCTCGTACAGTCGATACACGAACGTCCACTCCTTATCCCGGCACGACACGCTCTTGCCCACAATCGTCGTGTCCTCGTGCTGCAAGGCGGCTTTGATGTCGTACGGGTACGGCGCCTGCTCCAACAACGGCTCCTCGCTCGTCAGGAACCCGCCCTCGGAAAAGGCAAACTCCTTGTGCTTCAACGTGGTGTTTCCCGAGGTCAGCACGTCCGCGAGCGAGACACCGCAGTGTGGGAAATGCTCCCCGATGCCCGCAAACTGCAGCACCGTCGGGACGAGGTCCACCATCTCCGCCATCTCGTCGTACACCACGCCCCGCGGCAGCCCACAGCCGCCGACAATCAGCGGCTCGTGGGTCAGCGAGTCCGAGAGGCCTGACGGCCACTTCTCGATCATGCCGTGGTCACCGAGGTACTCCCCGTGATCCGTGAAAAACATTGTCACCGTCGAGTCCCAGTGACCCAGCGCCTTCGTCTTCTCCACGACGCGCCCAAACTGGTCGTCGAGACGGGAGATCATGCCGTAGTACGTCGCCATCACCTCGGCCCAGATCTCGGGCGTCGCGCGGTGGGTGCCGTACCGCTCGCGGTTGATCTGCATGTAGCGAGGCTCGTAGCCGGTCTAATATTGTCCGTTAGTTGAGAAGGCTTTTGTCACGGCAAAGTTCAGCAGTGTGCTCACCTTGTCTTCCGGCTTCGTAGGCACGCCCATCTCACCGCGATCATACATTGAGAAATACGGCTCCTCCACCTGGAAAGGACAATGCGGGAAAATGAGCGGCATGAACAACACCCAAGGCTTATCCGTCGGCGGACACTCCAACCACTTCAGCGCCCCTCTCACAACAGCATCATCATAATCCATCGCCTCCTCATTGTTCCTCAACCCCTTGTAGAATAGCCTCTTCCAGATATCTTCCCTGTCCTCGGGCTCCTTATTCCCGCCGCCCGCGAAACGTGGCACGAACTCGGGCGTCTCGAGGAACCCGTACTCGTCCAGCGACAGCTCCGTCACCGTCGGCGCAAAGGTATCTCCCCTCGGCGCTAGGCAGGCGACGTGATACCCTCCCTTCTCCTTGAGCGAACGAAAGAGATTGGGCTCCCACGGCTTGATGAGGTTCTCAAGGGAACGGTGGCCCGTGACGTGCGGGTAGTTGCCCGTGAACATGCTGCAGCGGGACTGCGTGCAGACGGAGGCCTGGACGAAGCAATTTGTGAAGCGGGTGCCCTCGGCCGCGAAGCGGTCAATGTTGGGCGTCTTCACGGTCTGTTAGGCGTGTTAGCGATGTGACAAGCGATTAGGGATGTGAGAACGATGGCTCACTTGAGGGGAGGGTGAAGTGTGACCTTGTTTCCATTGCAGCTGAGTGAGTCGTAACGGAGCTGGTCCGGCATGAAGATGATAAAGTTGGGCTTGTCCACCTTTAGCCCGCTGGGCTTCGCAGGCTGTTCGTATGGAGGTGGAATTTCTGACGAGGGCGCCATCGTGAGAGGTTCTGTCTGATGCACAATCTCACACTGCGGATTGATGGTTGACGAATCGCTCGCAGACAAAGAGAAGGAAGGTCTGTTCTAGATATAAACCTCGAAACCGGAGACCTCATCATCCTGCCTCCAGAGAGAAACACCACAGAAGCCCACTCATGGTCCCAAATCGCAAACCCTCACTGGTCAGATGAGGTCCGACACGGCGATGTGTGTCGTCCGTAGCACAGCCGACAACCGCTGCGATCATCCGGCGAGATCCGGCGATGAGTGGAGACAATTTGGGTGGTCCGTACCCAGCCGTGCCGGGATCGGGCCAGTTCGGCGTCCATTTGTTGGAGCACCAGTCGGGGGATTTTGATAGATGATCGTCGCAAATCATTTGTTTGTCGATCCACGGCCCCAAACACTTTCGTTCAACATCAATTACGAAACGAGCCGGTTCGTTGATCAAAGCTGTTTCTCTGCAGCTTGCCGCATTTAGAGGTACCCTACCGCAGGAGCGGCTACTGGCCCAATGACAATAAACATTGACGTCGGACCTCCGGCAAATGTTGCCAATGCGGGGTGGCTGTAACGTAGGGCGGCACACGGTCTCACAGGATCGACAGACTCGAGGTAGCACAGGGGGCATGCGAGAAGCCATGGGTCATCATTTGCTTTGAATTGTTTAGAGGACACAAGGAAATTATACAGCATTAGAATATACAAATATTCTACAACCCGGCATTCGCCTTCACCACACGGTGATTCCTGGTTTCGTTCACACCGCGAGACGGGCTTCCCGGGGGTAGTCGTTAAGTTTATATACGTAAGAGTTGCGCCCCGAGCCATTTCCCAACGCCGATGCGTGGTGAATCCACAGACGGTGGTAGGTTCCCCGCGTGTGGACCATGCAAAGGACAGAAAGTCATCCCGGTGCGCAGGGTATAAAAGTGTGTGTCGTCGAACGCCATGCCATGTTGAGAAAAAATGCTGAGTTGTTTGTACAGCGGGAACCGATCTGTACAGAAGAAATTTGTCCGGGCAAAAGTTGGACACTTGATAATTTTGGTTTTGTTGGTTGCTTAGTTGAAGCGCTCCTTCTCCCGCAGGCCGCCGATTGAGTCGATATCGACAGAGTAAAACTGCGACTTGCTATCCTTCTCGTACGCCGGGAGCTGCTCATCGCGGACAGGCTCGAGGCCGACGGAACCGCCGTCGCCAACGCGGACGACGAGGACGCGGCCGCTCTTGCGGCGACCGCCCTCATCCTGCTCGTCAGGGAAGGTGATGTGGATCTCGGGAACGTTGTCGGGAGAGTGGGGAGCGGACTGGGGGTTCTGGAGCATCGGCGAGCGTCCGTCCTGGCCGATGTAGAGGACGCTTGAGCGGCCGTCTTGACTTGTCTGGATGGTGAGGTTGTGGTGGTTTCTGGCGCCGCCCTTGACTTCTTGATAGGAGGGGAGCATCTGTTCTTGGCGTTGTTGTCTGCGCATGCGGCGCATGAGGAAGAGTGTGGAGACGAGGAGGAGGGCGAAGAAGATCAAGGCGAGGACGACAATCATGAGGTTGAGAGTGTCGCCGCCATCAACGTCGCGGGTGACAACGCCAGGGGCGTTGCGGGAGATGAGGTTCTGGATGGAAGGCATTGTGTTGGTCGTGAGCGGGTCTGATTATTACTGCAAATATCCCTTTTCTTTGGTGCGAGTCGAAGAAGGGAGCGGTATTCGGTATAATTATTAAAGAGCGGACGACTGTAGGAGGGGTTTGTTAGCCATCGCGAAAGGGGTTTGTTGTTTGAGGGTCCGACATCTGGTGAGACATTCTGGAGCATTGTCTGGTGAACACACAAAGGGGACCAGATCCATTCCAGATCTCCCTTTTCGCACCGGCCAACACACACACAAGCGTCCTCGAATGTCTGGTCCAGAAGGGCGGATTTGCCTCGCCTCCCAAGAAAAGAAGTGGCACGTACGTAAGGGATTAAGTCTTCTCTCTGTGGCAGGCCGTCGCGAAAGTCGTTAAAGAATGCACTTGTCTCTCGGTGTGTCGTGGATATTTTTGGATTTGAGGGTTGGGTGTTTTTTTTCGGTGTAGTTGTGATGGTACGTAGTGAGCGGGTTGGTTATTAACGATAGGACGGAAAACTGCTTAGTGAATGCAAGCGGTAATTCCAAGGGGGGGATAGTATTAGAGAGTGACTGGAAGGAGGGTGCTAATAGAGAGCGAGTGACAACAAACGGTCCTGCAACGTACAGCAAGGACAACGACGATTTGAACAAAGTTGTTGAAGAAGAAGGGGAGGGAAGGGAGGAGGAGAAGAAGTCGAGATGGAAGGGAACGAGAAAGGATATGTCCTGGTTGGAAAATGGAGAGACAGGGGTAGCGCCGAGGAGGAGCAGAAGAGAGGAGGAGGTCTGCGGTGTGGTGTGTGTGTGTGTGTGCCTGGTACCTGCGTTGGTGTGTGGACAATTGGTGCGCAGGCTTGCATTAGGACTGGGCAGCGGGTAAGTGGCTACTGCCCAGCGTGTGTGCCAGTGTGGGCGGCATTGGACGCCTGGGAGGAAGACGCGATGGAGCCATGCCGTTCCTGGCCAGGCATCCAAGGATCTATGCAGCAGAGACATAGCATAAGCGCACAGAAAAGGGCGGCATCATTCATCATGGCATGGGGCGGTTCGTGATCACAGATTGAATCCTTTCCTAGAGCCCCAGCCTATTGGCAAGGCGGCAGGGATCACGACCGAGCCAGACCGGGTTGAGAGAAGCTCCAGCCAGGCAGTACATAGGTACTTTGTTATCCATCGTACACGTCCTGCGTAAGGTACACAAAGTAAGGTACACATCTTACGGATAGAGAGGCTAGAAAACTCAGGGGAGCTGCTTACCGCCTTGAAAAGAAGCGAGAAAAAACTAAGCAGGACCATCCAGGACGAGAGTGAAAAAGAGGAGAAGATGGCAGCATCGGACGACAGCAAACGGTCCTCCCACCTTCCCTTCCATGGAATCCATAGTTCCATTGGCGCACTCCGTAGTGGATCTGGACCGGGCCAATTCTCCATTCTGGTAAGCACAGCCCATGGAGCAACTTGACTGATTTGGGAACATGGGAAGCAACGCCCCAAGATTGAGCCCATCTGACAGGCACGCACGATTCGTCAACGGTCTGCTGCAATTTCCGCCATTGGCCAATGGGACCGTTGTGTGCCTGAAAAGAGCGGGGCGGCGCCGGGAGCCGCCTTGAAACGGCGCCGATTATTGGGCGGCCGTTGGTCGTTTCCCAACTAAGCTCATCGAGCCCCTGCAGGGGCTCGTGGTCCGTGAGCTCGTGTGCAGCCAGGAACGAGTGGGTTGTTCTTGCTCTGCTCTTGCTCCTGTTCCTGAATTCTGCCGGATAACCCCCCCTGGCTCTTGCCTTCCTCCTCCGAACCTGGGCGGCTGTGACGACAAGCTGGGACTCCCCTTTTTCTGTGCAATCTGGACTCGCAAATCAGCACCCACTGCGGCCTTGTGCAAGTGGGTCCATTGGATAGAACACGCGGTTAGCGTCGTGGTGACATCCATTTCGAGAAGGAAGGTGCGTCCTTCGTCAGCAATACCCGGCCTTCCACTCTTCGAGGCAAGCCGCAAGCCGCAACACAAACAAATAATAACGACTTGGAGAATGACAATGCAACGCCCGTCGAGAACATGAACTCTGGGTGCTCTCGGATTCGCTCGACCAAACTATTGTTTCCCAAATCTCTTTTTCCTTTCTTCCCTCCCAACCAGTCCGCTTCCTCCTCTGCCGCCCTCCTCTCGATATCATCTCACGGAGCTATAACACACCGGCGCCTACGGATATTGTTCTCTCTCTCATCACAAGTCCACCGAGCAAAAAGCTGCCAGCTTGATCCCTCTTCTGCCCAGTCTAAATGTCTCCGGGTATCCGTACCGTCGTCGACTGACAAAGTTGTCCGTCCCAATCCGGTCTTGGCCTCTCCCGGGGCCCCACGAATGCAATCATTCAACATGTCAAATCAGGTTTGCTACTTGCTGACTCTCGCCCAATTCTAGAAAGACTTCATTAACTCATTCCGCCCTCTCCCACCTTTTTGGCGGCGGCAACCTCCCGATGCCAGAAATAGCGTCGGAGCTCCAGCAGCCACCTGGTCACTCCATGCCAGTGGGGCTCTCGACCCGCACCGTCATCTCTGGCAAAGCGAGAGCCTCGTGGCCCACGATGGCCCCGTTGCCCTACACACGAGATTACGAGCTCGTGTATGGACTCTTCCAGTCTTCCACGTCTACCACGGTGCCGCCGCCTGCGAGCCTCGTAACATCGTACATAATCCAGAATCAAAAATCCTGCCCGGCCCGTAGCGATCTAAGCATAGCCTTTTCGTCCGACTCCGCCTGCCGGCTCCTGTTGTCGCAGATCATCCCTTTCGGGACCGCCTACGAGATTTCCGGGAATTGCTGTTGCCCCTTGGAGACAAACGAGAGTTGTTCATCTCGTTTGTTATGAAGCACCGTTGCATTGTTCAATGCAGCGACCACCTCTTATCCCACAGCCCCTGCCCCTCCGGGCCCAATGCAACATTGACAGCTCGACACCGAACATACCGAGCATGTGGTCCGGGCCACATGTGGCGCTCCTTTGTGGCGTCAGTCCGCTCCGATTCAATGCGGCGCCACAGAGAGACGAACTACGCCTCTCGTCACTTGGTCACTTCCACAATCATCATCACTCGGCTTGATATCATGTTGACAAGTCGCCCAAGTGGGACATCCGACATCTGGCGGCTCCGTTTGCTGGTCATTGCTGCCGAGAAGGTCTTTGACTCGAGAACCAAACGCAATCAGGCGGCACCATCCAGAGGCACGATCCATTTCACTGCCCATAGTCCTAGACAAGGTCTACACATTTTGAATTGACACGTAGAAGAGTTTCGATGTGGCTCTTTTGCGGGAAACTTGGACTCCTTTCGATCACAGCCGCAGCTTGACGGGAGGCAAAACCATGGGCAGTTCCCAACCAGGCGTTGCTAAGACACCCCCTAGTGAGCACGATGAAGTGTCCTCGCAGGTGCGAATGCCTGTCGACGCCTTGGGTCTCCAAAAAATCAGTCAGATTTGCTCAACATGATAACGAAGCTTGCTAATACTCGCCCAGTACGGATGCCAACGCATGAGGCAGTTCGCCCTTGATGCTCTTGCGCTGAGGTTGCGGCCACGACCACATCTTGCCTACGGACACGATACATGTAACGACACCGAAGCAGTCTAACAGGCGGTCATCCTGCGCAAAAGGACGATTCGGGTCATGCATCGCCCATCTGTTTTGCTTTAGTCTACGGAAGCGATGTATACACCAGCACCGGAGCAGTCTGATGGGCGGCGAAG